TGGGGCATAGCGTTCTGCCGCCTTACCAAAAATCACCATATTGATAAAAAGAAAAGAAATGGGCAAACAGATACTTGAATCATACGCTCACGAAACTACTGACCGGAAAAACGAACAATTTCAAATGTCCCGCGCTGCGAATTTGTGGACCATCTCCCACAATGCACTGGGAAAAAAGGAACTCTCCGTGGCAAACTCTTGGTGGCGCACTGAATTGTGAATCACCCGAATTGAAATAACACCTTTCCTCTCCCTCTCCCTCTCCCCACCCCCTCCCCCACCCCCAGTGTAAAAATCTGAATTGTCAACAATGCTGCCCTGCCCATGAAATAATATCTTTTTCCATTAAGCCGCCAGGGACCCTTTCTCATCCTTAAACCTTCTCTCTGTGATAAAAAAAAATCTCATAGTGACACAGTAACATAACCCTTGTCACAAACCCTGACGGTTGAACAACATGTGCGATACAGATATTTACAGACACACATGAAAGGGATTACATTACTGGCTGGGTTTTCTGCCCAAGAGTCAGTTACCGACTTACCGATACCTTATTTGGTAGCATGAAAATGTTTCCGCAGAGGGATTTAGGACTTTTCCGAGGCACGATGAAATTCACATCATTTCAAGACTTCCGAGTCATTCATTGTCAAGTACCCTGGGGATTTTTGTTTCTAACTTAAAGTTATCTTTTGGCCTAAAAAATCAGTGTTGTGTTTCCGGTAACATTGCCAATAAAAAGAAGGTTCGGTAGGTAGGTTTTTTTTTAACATACATTGTACAATGTACATGTACGGATAACTGGACAAATATGTACATTGTACATGAAGACATACCAGTACATGTACATTTAACGGTACTAGTACATATACGTGTACAGGTACAAATGTACTTGTAAAGAGGCAATAGTAATTTATTGCATATTTACAAGTAAATCAGACTTTTGGGGCTCGTAAAACACATGAATGAAATTTTTCTTAAATCACCCATAAAATTAATAATGTAAAAAAAAAATTTTTTAAAGCAACTGCCAACCTTATACACGTATATTATGTACACTCACAAATTTTGGGTTAGTCCGGTTACCAGAAACACAGCAATTTTAATTTTTTTTTATAATTATTATTTATTATAAATTAATTTATTAAGGCCTATATGTTGGCTTATAAATAAGCTGAATGTTTCAAAAATTATCACTGAACACTCCTGACTGTATTAGAAAACATGAGTTTGGAATTATTGAACGAACAATTTCACGATGCAGTTCAATTAATAAATAAAGGCGCGCAATTGAATTTGCCGACGAAGTTCTCTTCATTCACGGTAAGCTCTTTCTGAGCGCTGGCAAACATGCTAATTGAATAGCGAACCACTTCACGTCCCCAAAACGCTCAAATAAGATCCTTGTAAATCTCATCTATCCAATGGACGACCTTTCAAGCTAGACAATAAATGAGATTATCGGGCATATTTGCCGTCCTCCTGATACTCGGCTTTTGTTATTAGCTTTGTAATTAAGACGTCTCTGGAGAAATTAAAATGAATCTTGCTACCTCTGTGTCGACAAAAGAAGGCTAAATTGAAGTGCATTGCGTCTGTTGGGAGGTAGACTACACTGCTAGACAATAAACACAGTTGTTTGTCAAACTTGGCGAATTGCTGATAAACACAAGGAACTTTGTAATTCTTTTTAAAGGTACCCTGGTACAGTAATGTACAACATTCACAAGGATTAAAAAATGAAATTACCAAATTATTATGAAATGCCTTACTGGACTGTAAGTGAATGATAGTCTCAAGCATCCTGTGAAATTGTTGCACCTGGAATGCTGTCATTTTCAAGAAAAGTGAAGTTTTGTATCAAAATAATTTTTTTTCCAATGATGGTTGGCCGGCCATCGTTGGAAAAAAAACTGGCTTTATTATTTCAAATACTGCTCCTAATTGACCAAATTTAGTTACATGTAGTCCACATTTTGTTTGCAATCAGTTGCATATCTGTGAATGGGCGCAAGCTGGCTAGTCTGGTTCCCTGGCCAGACAATTCCCTGATGTCATTAAATTATTCTGTTTCATCTGAAGCGTCGGGTCAAAGAACCAGACAACAAGAACAGTGTTTTTTTTTTCTTATTATTTTGGGGTTTTTTCTGGCATCCTTGAACACAAAACTTAAACAGCGCAGTGGATCAATATTTGCTATAAAATACTAAGTCCCACATCCGTCCACTTCAAAAAATTACAGCAAAAGCAAATGCTGAATAAAATTACCTTTAATTTCAAATTTGCCAGCAACTATTTAAAAGTGAAAGAAAAGTATGACAAAAACATGAAAATTCCATGCTGCATGAGACTTTCTAAAGTGATTTTTTTTTTTTTTTTAAATACATGTAGTATCCACGCAATGCACAGAAAGTGAAACACAAGGAAATAAGCCGGATTTATTTTTAGAGACATATTTGGTATTTTGGAAATGACATGCACTTAGCCAAATTATCAGCGTGGCTGTTGTTAATCAAGTTTGCTTGAGAGTGAAACGGCAGTAAATGACATGCACAAAACCCTCATCGATCTTTATACCGATGGTAGCAGGTTGCATTATTGATTAGTAATGGCAGTCAATTGGCTGGAGCTTAAAGGGGCACTTTCAAGAGAATGCACACATTTGGCACAAAAACCTTTTACCACTCAACAATTATTAGTTTGAAAGATCACTGAAAAGTAGAATATGAACGTTTGAAACACAACTGTACAATGTACCTTGAAAAATTGCTGTTTGCGTGTAATTACTTAGCAAAGGAGTTTTGGTGTACCGTACAAACAAAAACATCAGCAATGCGATGTCACGCATGGCACTGAACCGACTAATAATAGCAACCGCGCATGCGTGTGCGCCGTGTCAACGCTTGCGCGCACCCATTCACAAATTCGCCCAATTACAAACCATCTACTAACAGAAATTTTCAAAAATGCGTCAATTGACTCATCTTTGGAAATGACAGGTTTTTATTGTCTTCTTCAAAATGACATCATGCCAGAAGGAATAATTTCACAGGGAGTTTAGTGCCATTACTTTCTTTAAACCAAGTAAGTTTTTTTACAATAATTTGGTCGGTTACTTTTGGATAGCTGCAAATGATCATCTCTGCTCTACTCTGCCTTTAATTTTGGCCCTCTCCTGACGAAGTGTTCCTCTTCTAAGACATGATCAGGCTTCGAACAAACAACTTGACTCGCTGCAATATAAGCTCCCTTTCACGTCAAAAAGTCAGGCCTAACTGTCACAGGCTAATCAATAATCTCGCATACAAACATCTTACGCAACTGAGGACATATCCGAAGAGGTTATTCAAGACTTTCTCGCTACTCGACATTTGGTCAATAAATGGGCGGTTCAGGAGTCACTGACATTTTGACAGTCAAGGAAGTAAACTGCACAATAAGATCGTGCAGTACCACGGCTGGTTCTTTCAATTCTTTACACTCAAATTCAAGAGTAATTGTGAGCTGTTCTGTCAAAATCAGATTTTTCTGGGCATAAGGTCGGAAATGAGATTTCTGCTTATATTGTTGAAATATGTACATTTTCCTTTTATTTGGTGGTTTAATTTTTGAAACCTGTAATTCCTGGGCAAAGTTATGCTATTTTGAAGTTCATTGTGTCGAAAACTAAAAACGGAGAAAATGGCCATGAACGACACAAAACAGACATTTCTTTAACTGATATACCTCTACAAATCATCAAAAATACTATATTAGGAGTTCAAATTAGGGTTTCAAACTTTTATAGTATCTTTAAGACATGTTCAGGATTACAAATATGTAAAAATTAGAAAATCGAAAAAATCACCCCCACAGTGTTTTTTGGCCCTATCTCAATTTCAACCTCTGCCCAGAAGCGTCTGCTTTTGACAGAACAGGTCACAATTGTCGCTTTAACAGAAAATGGAAAAAGAATTTTGATCCAGATTTTGTCTTACCGGGGTGGGACACAATTAATAGAGACAGGATTTTATAACGAAACCGATTATGACTAGTAATTTAAAGGCATGTAGGATCACTAGCTTTTGTCATGCATTTTGTTCGTTTCCAAAACTAACAAAACCACTCACAATCCAAAGAAGGATGTTCAAAACCTAACCTGTTGAAGTTTCAGTGGATATACTTTTCGAGAAAACAATGAAAACCATTCACAAACTTTTGATCACGAAACACAATTTCTTCTACAATGTAGGACTCTTTATTTCCAAAGATCAGTCAATTGACTAATTGTTGGAAACCATGTACATTTACATCTCTTGATTTCTTCAAAATGACAGCAAGCCAGACGGAATAATTTCACTGCAGGGTGTGAAGTACAATGTACCAGTATGATCTTTAATCCCAATAAGCTTTTTGATAATTTGGCGGGTTACTTTCGGGATAAATGCAAATGGGCAATTCCATGATTACTCACGTTACATTTTCGTAACGTGAGTAACCGATTTTTTTGTGCGTCTTGTTTATCATACATAACACATTTTTCTGGATGTCATCTTTGGTGCTTAGGTAGGTCTAGGTCTACTCTATCTACCATGGGGATAACAGTTATTAAACTTTTTCAGTAAGGTTATTACAGCCCAAGGAAACTCAAAAGTACATCAAAAATGTAACGTGAGTAACCGTGGAATTGCCCAAATGATCCTATAGACAAATCTGGCGGCAGCCATTTTCTGCGGTGGTGCAAGGCTCGCGCGAGTCGCACACCAAGCCCTTTCAACCAATAGGAATAGCAAAGTGCGCGTGCGCCTTGTCTTTAAGAACGCGTGCAGCATGCGTGTGAGCATGACACCATACACAGTAAAAGCTTCTAATTCCGGTCGGCAGATTCCACTACAGATCTTTAAGAATGTGGCTACACAATCTGACAGCAATCCAACGCAAAACAAGAAGCGATATTTTTTTCAACAAAATGTCTTCAGGCAATTACCAATTCCATTCAAATTCCTTCTACTCTTACTCACCAAGGCAGTCGATGACGAGATCAGATCCTGGCGTGGTGAACGGTCCAAGCAACCAGATTTAGGAATGATTCAACACAGGAAATACCAACTGAAGTCGGCCCTACACAGAGGAGAATAAGAAAAGGGATCTTTAAACAATTCACAATGCAGTTTCATGGCATTTCACAATGCAATTTGCCACCAAGAGTTTTCCAGGGAGAGTTCATTTTTGGGAGATTGTGGGAGATGGTCTCGACAAATTTGCAGTGCAAGACATTTGAAATTGTTAGTTTGTCTGTTCAGTAGTTTCGTAAGAAACTACTGTATGATTCGAGGACCTGTTTGCCATTTTTTCTTTTCTTTTTATCAATATGGTGTTTTTTTGTAAGGCGGCAGAACGCTATGCCCCAATCTATTACAATATATACTAGCTCAAGTTGTCTACTGAAACTCATTCAAATGGGCCATGTTTTGTTGACTGTAAACTTGAAAAATGGACTCTCCATGGCAAACTCTTGGTGGCGCACTGCATTGTGAATCGCCCAAATTCTCAGTGAAAAACATATAATTGTGCTGGTCTTTTTGTTCCTGACTGACTCGACTGTCAGTCACTTGTGACTTAGCCTGGTTGTTGGCTGGGGAAGACAGCCGGGCAGTGCTATTGTATAGGATAACCAATAATAGGCTAAATCCGGCCCATTATGCAGACCAGATGCATGAAAAGACTTCCAGTGAATAGCCATTCTGAATCAATTGGATAGAATTGTGTGTACACTGGGACCAGCTCTAGGCTTGACCTTCGTTAAAGTCACTCCGGTAAGATTGGTATCAAATTGCAAATTTGGCGGAAAGTAAACAATCGTAAAATTCGTGATTCAGATATGACAACCGAAAATTAAGTGCCGTCCAACAAAATAATCTTGAATCAATGTCCATTAAAAACTCTTGAAGGTCGGCGATAAGCTTCTCCGTGGATCAAAGTTTGCTGACCTGAAGACGCCTACGCACTCCAGGGTCTATGCAGACACTGGGAAGTTGGCTCTTGGTTACCCAGCAAATATTGACTTTCATATCGACTGAAAATTAATAATATCAAAGTTCGACCACATCCTCTCGCGAGGCCAAATTGGCAACCAATGCTTCCTGACTGATCGAGTAATTGAAGTAAAGCTCTCAATGTGAAGAAACCACAAACAAAGACGAACCAAAAGTTTTGACGTTGCAAAAATAAAACTGCGAGAAAAAATCGACGTGGGAATCTTCTGCCTAAAAACAGAAATTCAGCAACTGAAGATGATTTGAAATTGGTCTGAAAATTAGAAACCGATCCGGGCACGCTAATAATTCTATTACGGAGGCCCCCGCTAATGGCGAAAGCATTGTTTAAGCTACACTGTATTGTTTGGATAATCTGTCACGGAGCAGTTGCTTTGTACAATAGTGTGCACAATGGTTTCTCCATTGAAGGGGGCCTCGTTCGTGTACGAGTGATCGCGTGTTCGGATTTGTATGTACAGTATGACCATTATTTTGAATGTACAACAAATGTACATGTACACTGTGTATGCCTTTCACTTTAAAGGTACATGTGGAGTACTGGTAGATCATTTCTCGTTTGTGCATTTTTTTCGTTGGAAGCAATAAAAGTTCTGAAATCTAAAGATGGGTGCTACACAACTAACCTGATGAACTTTTACCTCTGTGAATGCTGTATGTTCTGAGAAAGACAATATTCTAGGATCTCGATTTCAATTCAAACATTGCCGAGTCATGTTTAGAATTGCACATGAAATCAGCGTCCGGGACATGTTCTATGTACATGTACGCGATGTCACAAACTGAACCTACAAATTATAGCAACCCCGCGCACGTGTGCGCATCGTGTCAACACTTGCGTGCATCCATTCACAGCTTCGCTGAATTAAACACGAACTACTAACGGAAATTTCCGAAAATGTGTCTTTAGACACATCTTTGGAAATGACCTTTTTTATTGTTTTCTTTAAAATGACAGCATGCCCGAAAGAATCATTTCACAGGGAGTTTAGTGCCATAACTATCTTTAAACCAAGTATGCTTTTCAACAATAATTAGGTGAGCTTCAAATGATATACATTTTTTGTACTCTACCTTTAACTAAATGTACATGTATGTGTGTGTACTTTAAAGATGCACTCCCTACCCTAATTCATATGTAACAAGATAATGTAGAAAAACAGAAATGGATATTGCAACAGACTGTGTGTGATACTGTTTTTCTTTGTTGTCAACACCCAATCGAAACTTCACGAGGATATAACTTAGAACAATAGACCAATTGCGACATCTCTGCTGAAATGTCTTTAACAGATCTGGAGGAAATCGAAAGCAACATGACGGTCTCTTTTTCTGCCCAAGTTAAACAGGATACACAGATGTCTTCCCAATGTTTGCCAGCCAGCCAGCTAGGGATTTTTTTTCCCCACATTTCCAGGCCGGAAAAGGCCCTGGAATGACCTAGTTTCCAGATAGCTTAAGTCAGGAAATGTGTGCAGCTCTGTTGCATTTTTGGTGCCTTGGGTCTTTGAGCATGTTTCCCAGCCAAGTATCACACATTTAAAACATAAAAGACAGTGGATATGCAGCCAGCGCCAAGCTACATGGACCCAGTAAAGAGAAGACAATGTGAACAAATGGCAATTTTACTTTTAGATGTGGGAGGAAAACCCCAGAAGATTATTCTGAGAAAACCCACGGAATCAGGTAGGGACTGAAAACCCAATCCACATATTGGCCCATGCAGCAATCGAACCCGGAGCACAGCAGTGGAAGGCGAGGAAAGTACTGCTAGTTGCTACGCTAACCTGACTCCCCCCAAACAAAACTTTGAAGAATTAAAACTCTGGCATTAATGTTCACTCTTTGGCCCCTTTGCTCAAAATAAAAAAGGAGAACACACCATGACACTACTCACTAGTACTAGTAGTAGTAATTGAAGAAATGACTGATTATAATATTTCAACTAGTCCTGGGCTAGCTACATTTTGCACAAATGTTCATTGTTTTCTTACATTGAATAACATTTTATTTTAGTGCCGCTGGCTAGTGCTGGGTTTTTTGGGACATTTTTTATTTGTAATAAAAAAGGTGAACGAACTTTCGCGCATGACAACCCCAAAACTCCAGAATTTTGTAAACTGGCCTAGGCCTACTTCTAAAAACGAACATTTTAGAACCGAATAAAAACGTGAAGCTGTAAAACAGTGTTTTCCAACATTCACCACGATCATCTCACTCTCAGCACAGCATTGATATTATTTTTTCCAATTATATTTGGGGTAAACCATGGAGGTAGGAACGTAAACTCATGCACGTCAGTGTCTACCAAAACGGTCATGTCTATGTCTATGACAGTGTGATATTCAATGAGATTATGAGGTGAACAAACTTTGAAACCAACCATCCATCGAAAAAAGAAAAACACAGTTCATCGGCAAAAAGAAAATAATACTTAAGGTGGCTACATAATAGCAGTGTAGAATCCCTAACTTACCTTATATTATGCAGATAAAATTGCGTTTGAAAATAGGGATTATTTGTGTCAAATTCCGCGCCGGCCCATCCCCCGTTTATACCGTACCGTTGAGAGAATCCAGTCGTTACGGCTGCCGTACGTACGTGGGCGCATAACATGTGGATTTACATGCCGTAGTAAAATCAATTTTTTTTCCCCCCCCCCGTGCCTAGCGTACTACTTACGTGCACGCACGGCGCACAACTGATCACGCAGCGTGCGAGTGATAGATTATCTATTCAGTTATGCAAAATGTTTAAAACATTATTTTAGGGGACACCGCACTATTCTAATAAGGCATTTTTCAAAATAATTTTGCTCGTTTATTATTGCACAAAATCATTATGCAGAAAGTATTTTTATCTAACAAATTTCAAAAGATATTGCAGAATATAAATTTGGTAATGTATTTTAGGCATTAGGTTTGAAGAAAAATGTTGTTTTACAGTGCAAGATATTGCAATGGTTTTGAGGATTCGATTAAGTAGTGGTGCCCCCGGAAAAAGGCGGGACAGACCGTGGGAATTTTCCATTGAAGGTTTTTTGTAAACAAATTGACCGAGTTTAGGCTTGGGCATAGAGGGCGTGCTCATTTTGTACGTACATGTGATACATTTTCTCAATAAGTTGGGGTTGTTTTTTTTAGAAGGGACCATGATGTTAGCAATGTTTGCCCCTTATTGAAACTATAATTTTGTCTTCTGGGGCTGGCAGTGACTCAACAAGGGAGAGACTCTCTAACAGACATTCTAAACAGTAAAATACTTCACAGAGGATCCAGGAAACTTGAGTTTGCAAAGTTGGAAGGACCCATATGAAAGTTCAAAATATGCACTTCATTAAAAAAAAACAAAAAATACCAGACAATGTTTCAAATTTCATCAAGGATTTAATGCCACACTCATTCCACATTATTCAGATATTGTCAAGAAAAAGTACAATGTATGGGAACATGTTAAGTTACAAAAATGCAGAACATTTCTATAATACATGGATGTGTTTCTAAGTCGGGCCAGAAGATTCAGATGTAGAAATCTCAGTTTAACATGGAAAAAAATTCACGCCAAATAAATACCAATATTTAATTTTAATATCAAGTTTGCACTTACCAAAACTGGCTTACATTTTATAGTCACTGTTTGATTTTTGTTCAAAATGAAGCACGTGTACAGGATTTCCATTGTTTACCCGAATTTCGTAAAATATTGGATAGATGTTTGATCAAATCTCTTTTGGGTAAAACCTATCAAGTAAATGCATGATTATTTTTTTTTTCCATACAAGGAATCTAATTCTACTTTAACAATTTCATACCTAGACTTGATTCAAGTCTGACTTTGCGCTAGCCATCTCACGAGCAACACGATCGACATCTTTATGTTCGACTTGCAGGGAATTTTCCAACTGGAATCCAGGTAGAAAATGGTGTGTGCCAATTTGTGCGCAAAAACTGTAAAACTCTGAAGTTTTTGGTGGAAATTATTGATGGTATGGTCATGAAATAGCCAGATTTACACTTCAAAGCCTTTGCAGCAATTTTCAAATGTCAACTAGGAGATGACTGTACTCCAGAAAGAAGTCAGGCTTGAATTAAGACTACTCACGGCTAAATAATATTATAAAAATAAATCAAACACAAATTATCCAATCACCGATTACTTAAAGTAATATACATACAAATTAAAAAAAAAACAATATCCATGTTACAACTCCCCATAGAATAAACACCGGTTTATAACCAAATGAGTCAATTTAAGTTTTACTCACAACACACTTTGTGAAATTGACCAAATTAACAATCATTTCTAATGATTAATACAAAAATGCCAACATAAAGTTTACTTTAAAAATAACTTTCAGTAACGACGAGTAGATTTGCTCAGAAGATATTCCCAATTTCCCAAATCTAACATTTTTCCAATTCATGCAAATACATGCAGTAATAAATATCTGAAAACGCTGGTTTGAAACCTTTCTTGCAACAAATCACATTTGACATTAGACTCTAAAATGGTCTTAAACTGAGTTTTATGTGCTTGTATTACGCAGTGGCTAAGTTTTCCTGAGGGTTTCGTGTACAAATTCAATGGCAAAACTTTTGAGGAATTCATTTTCAAATCAGAGTACTTTCTTGAAATAATGACATTAGATTTGAAGACTTGCTGGTTAAAAGTCAAGACAAGTAAAATGCACTAAATGTTAACGTTGTTTTTGCTAAATATGATGATTACCGTGAATTTGAAAAAGCAGACATCCTAGAATCGTAATCACTGATAGAGCTGTGCGTTTTAGAACAATTTAGTATTGGAAAAGAATGTTGCACCCTGACGCTGCTTTTTTTCTTCAAATATCATCTCAATGAAGGTCAGTCATTGCAAAACTGTTAACACATGAATCTCGGACTGACAAACATTTCCAATTTTGTTAGGAAATACTTTACAAAAATTCTTGACTCTCCATAGACTTTGTAAAACAACTGCTGAAGTGGCGTCAGGTTGCAACATTCTTTCCTAGTATTCGATTATTCCAGCTTTGACTTGATCTAATATTCAAATATTCGATTTCAAAATGCATTGATCAAGTTAAACACATGACAGCAAATCAGCATTTGCTTGAACCTGCACTAGTGGAAAAAAGACAAAGAATATTATAAAGAACAATTAGTGGCAGCTGATATTTGACAGATTTCAATCCCCAACAGTCCTGAATCCTCCAATTTTAATATGATTTTGCACACCCCCAGGGCGTTACGGTTAAAGAAATTGGGGCTAATATTACGCATGGAAGCACTCAAATCCTGCCCAATAGCGGCTTTTAATAAAAGGGTTGCATTTGACAAACAATAAAACCACACAACTTATACAGTTTTCATCATCTCCTTATGACCACTGACATTTTTAGAATATCTGAATCAAAAATATTCGGATATTTTGTTGACGATTGAATATTTGAATATTCAGTGGCACAGCCCTATTCACTGAATGGTTAAAACATGTTAACAAGTACAATCCACACACACACGTTTAGACAAAATGGTACCAGCATTTTCACGTCAAATAAACCCACACCCTTTCTCCCAACATAATGAAAGTTATCAACGTGACGCTTTCAAAACATTTTTCCTACTTTATTGCTCATCTTTTCTTGACTCATTTGTTTTACTTTTTGTTTGTATAGCTGACGGAAATCTTTAAGAGCTCCCAGACTTCTTGGAGAGACACAGAGGTCCAACGTTGTCGCCGGTCTCCTTGTTGTGGTTGTTGTGAGAACCGTCGCAGTATGGGAACTGTAAAAAAAAAAAACATTTACTTTTGTTAAGTACAGTCTGGATTTGAAACAGAGACTTGTGGTGGACGTGTAATGGACTTGTGAGGACTTGTGATATTCTTATGGGTTGTGATAGACTTGTGGACTTGTGAGGACATATGATTGACCTGTGATGGACTTGTGAAATACTTGTGACGACATGTGGACTTGTGAAAGACTTGTTCAGACCTGTGAACTTGTGAGGACATATGATGGACCTGTGAGGACTTGTGAGGACTTGTGATATACTTATGAGGACATGTGAGGACATGTGAGGACATGTGAGGACTTGTGAGGACTTGTGAGGACTTGTGGTGGCTTGTGGTGGACTTGTGGTGGCTTGTGGTGGGCGTGTGAGGACTCGTGATAGACTTGAGGACGTGTGGGGATTTCTGATGGACTTGTGAGGACTTGTGGTGGATTTGTGAGGACTTGTGATGGACTTGACTACAACACTGATACATGCTCTGCAAAAAAAAGCCAATTTGTTTTGGCTGGTCTCAGAGGGCAAGCCTAATGTCCTCTTTGTACCAATCTCACTGAACGACCCCCTGACTGTCTCTTGTAAATTTAGACTGGCTTAAGCTGATGAAAAGATCTGGGCAGTGCTCTTGTATAGGATTACCTACTGCCAATGAATGGGCTTTATATGGCCCACTTGTCGACCAGATGCATGAAACGACTTCCAGTGAATAGCCATTCTGAATCAATTGAAAAGAATCTTGTGCACTCTTGGGACCAGCTTTACTAGGCTTGCCATGGTAAAGAAAGTTGCATCCCAACGTCACTTTTTTCATCATATATTATCTCAATGAAAGTCAGTCACTGCAAAATGAAGACATGAATCTGGGTCGGAGACACATTTCCAATTTTGTTAGGAAATACCTTGAAAATGCACTCAACTCTCCATAGACTTTGTACACAACCAAAGAAGTGGCATCTGGATACTTCATTCTTTCCTTGCCATGTCTTGTTTAAAATGGGCCCCTTCCCCCACCCCAGTATTGTCCATTGCCTAAAGCCGTGGGCGGCATTACGTCAGCCGATGAAAACATTTATTCATTTTCACTCCCGCTTTCACCGCTTGCGATCTGTTACCGTTCAGCACTCCAAACTCAAGAACCAATGAGTTTTAAGTAAATAAGTCTGGAAACTAGACAAGGCAATGTAAGAAACTTCACAGATGTCCATGCCCACTTAAAGGGAATAAACAACATTTGCAAACATCGAAAACTAAAATTACCAAGATTTTACGAAATACTTTACTAGGATGTTGATAAATGACAGTGGAAAGCATCCTGTAAAGTTATGGCACCTGGTGGGAAGTAATTTTCAAGAAAATAGAATTTTTGTATAAATTTCCAACGGTGGTCGGCCGACCACCGTTGGAAAAACCTGAATATTTTTCAACTACTGATCCAAATTTACCATTTTTTCAGTCCAAATTTTGTTTGCTATTGGTTGCATGTTTATGAATGGGTGCAGGTAGGCTAGACTGGTTCCCTTACCTTACAATTTTCCGGTATCTATAAATATTGATCTGTTTCATCTTGAGTGGAGTCAGGGAACCAGACTGCTTAAACATTTTTGTTTTTCTTGGTTTTTCCAGCATTTTCAAACACAAAACTTCCAACAAGTTAGTGTAACAATATTTGATCTATTATACTAACCCCTCAAATAGTTCATTTCTAAAAATTACAGCAAAAGCCAATGATGTACATTCCCTTTAAACGTTCCTCTCACCTTCTTCGAGCGCCAGCATCGGCAGAACGCCTCGCTATCCCCGAGCTCTTCGATATCAATCTCGGTCACCACTTTCTCCTGGCCCTTCTGCTGGCTCTTCTGCTGGCTCTTGTTGATGATGTCGTCCTTTTTGGCATCGCCGCAGGCGCCTTGGCACTTGGACGCCACAAAGTAGACCGCCAAGCCGATGGCGCCAGCCGCGGGGATGACAATCAACCAATCCTTACCTGAAACAAAAGAAAACAATTGGAACATTTGTAGGGCCACTTTTTTTCATCATTATTATCACCATGAAGCTAGGTGGGGCGCACTAAACAGCGTCAACACAGCGTCAACACAGCGTCAACACATGACAGAAGCGTCAACACACCGTCAACACATCCAAAACACATTCTGAATTGACAAAAAGGGCATATAATTGTGAAACATACAATAAAAGAGAATTTCCATTGGATTGAGTTTCCATTTCGTTGTTAAAAATATCGTATTTTCACGCGAAAAAAATGACCTTTCACTCGCACGGCCGTTGTCCGCCATCTTGACTTCGCACAAAGCTTGGACTACACCATTTCAAGTAGGGGTGTGTAGGTAATGACATTATCTTGTCATAAACAACAGAGGGATACCAGATCTTTGAGGACTGAGGATCGGAGTGGATCATTATTTTGTGAGTTGTGTTTATGTTTCATTTACTTTATTGAAATGGACATCTTTTGGTATTGGCCGGCCGCGCCCTCTCTGTTGGTTTATTGTACAACGCTATCACCCTTTAGCATAATGGTATGGTCCGCACTGCCACTGAGGCAACATGGCAGCCGATTTCGGAGCGGCACGGAGAGCCAATTTTCTTGAACTGAAAATCGCAATTTTCAGACGTTTAACCTATTAATTTTAAGCCAAAATCTTGTTTCTGTCCATACTGTATGGGTTACATACTGCTTTTGTCAATTTTAATGCATTTTGGATGTGTTGACGCTGTGTTGACGCTGTGTTGACGCTTTGGAGTGTGTTGACGCTGTGTTGACGCTGTTTAGTATGACCGAGCTAGGTTAGTCATTGCAAACATGTTGAAAAGACATGAATCTGGGATTGAAAAACTTTTCCAATCACTGTAGAGCCTAGCCCCATAAATGTGGCCTATTTAGGGGACTGCCTCCGTAAACATAGGCCACACATCCACATGCATGACATGTACAAATACGTGTCGCACTTTGCCAAATTTTGATTTTCACATTTAGGCTTAGTTTGTAGGGTTGTTTTGCTTTAGAAGCATATTCACCCTCTTTAATTTTTATAGGCTAATCAGAAAGTGCTGCCTTTTTCAGACGGCTAACTTTTGTGAAATTTCATGTTGAAATTTTGATACGCAAACGTGTGCAAATGGAGTCCCATACCTGGATTACTTGCCAAGTTTAGGGTGCACAGGCAAACGGAATGGTATGCGAAAACTACATGGCCAAAGGGGCAACAATGCAGACAGGACTTGGGGCGAAGTGTCGGGCTAGCGAGTGTCGTTGAACTTAGAAATGAAATTCCCCATTGTCTTGAAGAATTATTCACATTTTTGACATAAATTTAACTGCACAATATCCTTACCACAGATAGTCATGTTGTTTTAGGGTTCAAAACTCTCGATAAACTGTGAAAAAAAAATCGACAGGAGTTCGGAACCTTCTCGAGTCCGCGAAATCCTGGAAGTGTTGATTATGAGCTGAACAATCAAACGATGAGGGTGCCCTTCTGGTTTAACGGACGTCGATCGACTTCCCACAAAATTTTGTGCAGGGGAAATTAACGTGATTAATTGTTCAAAGAAAAAATATTCTAATACTTTTCATTTGGCTTGTTATCGCGCGACCGTCACATGAAAGTTGTCTATCGCTTACATTTTAGAAAATAGGGAATTATACTCGTTCTAGAAAAAAAATAATTTGCTTGGGTTTTTTTTGCAGCAGGTCTTATGGTATTAAAAATTGGTTTTAGATGGCGCGCTCCAGTTCAGAAATTGCGCACACTATTCAGAACGAATTGGGAGCGTCCCGGTCCGCTCTTAATTCCCAAGTTTAAATTAATTAATTGATTACTTGTCATGTGCCGATTTTCTTCGTGCGATGTCTCATTGAAAAGCTCATAACTAATGTTATGCTAGAAAATTATCAATTCAATTTGAAATCTCTTTTGTAAGGTGCCACACCCAAAAAGCACGTATACACAAACTTTAATTTGATATTTTTTGTTCAATTTACAATTACAGGGTGAGTCAAAAAAGCGGAACCCAGACCCCCAAAAATGTATTTCATATTTAAAAAAATATGTAGCACCAAAAATAATAACGACTGGAAAGCCAATTTCAAAAGCTACTTTTAAATGAAAAAAATTACTGAAATTGCTCAATCAGTTCAAAGAATACCACCATTTAAACGCAGTGACCCTAAAAAAGGGGAGCCAACCCTCCCCCCCCAAAAAAAGTATATATATTTCATATTAAAAAAAATATGTAGCACCAAAAGTAATAATGACTGGAAGCCAATTTCAGAAACTACTTTTAGATGTTAAAACTACTGAAATTGCTCAATCCAGTTCAAAGAATATCACCATTTAAACGCAACGACCCTAAAACCTGTTTCGTCCATAAACACGTTTTTACAACTGTCAACAACTGTAGTACATATTTATTAACAACCCTGGTAAGGCAAACATTATAAAATCCACTTTTTTTTTCAAAAGACGGGCCTTCAAAAGGACTTTGTTAAAAATGCTAACTTGAGGTTTTATCGCTGGTGATATGTTTGAAGACAATCGTCACGACGATTCTTGAAACCGCATTTTTGGACGAAAGAGGTTTTAGAGTCATTGTGTTTAAATGGTGATAAACTTTGAATGAATTGAGCAATTTTAAGTATTTTTTATTTTCATCTAAAAGTAGTTTATGAAATTGGCTTTCCAGTCATTGTTATTTTTGGTGTTTTTTATACATATTTTTTTTTTTTTTTTTATATGAAATATATTTTATTGGAGGTTTGGGTTCCGCTTTTTTGGACTCACCCTGTATATGTTAACTTGGTTGTACGAATTAATTGTAACTGATTATTATTAAAATAAAATAAATACATAGATCAATCAATTAATCAGAAACGCAGTAGGGGGGCAACTTTTCGTTTTCGTTTAAAATCCCCTCCCCCCCCCCTTCCCATCTTGACGTTACCGCCCAAAACTTATTCTGATTTCAAGCTATACCTACTCTAGATTCAAACACGTTTTTGTACTCCTTTACAGTTTTGTAACTTCAGTAATTCCCTTTTTCCCAGAAAATATGAAATATAATGAGTACACCATCAGCTGTCGGGGGACAAAGACGCTCTCAACTACTCGTTCAAAAACACAAGCTTGTCTGGTACCCAGAGTATTTCATGTGAAATGTGGACGAATTTGGTTACCAGATCAGAATATTTATTTGTACATTGAAAGTCGAGCCGTGAGATTGTGCAGCAGTCGTCGCGACGTTTCGACTTTTCTTTCCCGTCTGAGAAACAAGATCGTGTGTGCATATTGGAATTGGAGGTTATCTTTTTAGTTCGGTAAAACAGAAATATGGCAGCTACACGAATACAAAAGGTAATCAATTGTCGTAAAGTTTGAGATAAATACTTCGTAGTTTTAATTATGATTGTGCATGTTGTATGACGATCGAGTTGCCATTTCTAATCATTAGTCGTGACTCGTGGCCGGCTATCGATATGGCAGCCGTAATGCAATATTTTCAACTGCTATCGTTATGTCATTGCAAAACACCATTAGGAATCTAGGTCTACATGTACATCACATTTATAACTGCCCATCCAACAACCAAAGCGCTATGGGGAAAGAATGTTGCAACCTGACGCCACTTCAGCGATGTTGTGTACAAAGTGGGGAGAGTCAAGTCCGAGTAATTTGGACCCAACTTATCGCCTTTTAACATTCGGACATGGTCTGGCGATAGTAGGGTCCAAGCTAATCCGTATATGCCGAGCAACACAATTATGTCCCTGACCCCAAAACCCAACATTGCCCAACAAAAACATCAGATTTCACCCTCAAAATGGTAGGCCTATAGTACAAATTACTAGATACGCCACCTGAGGTACCTCCTATTATTCTGATTAAAATACCAAGTTTTAAAACAATTCCGAGTCTGTTATTTTTCTGTATTTTTCTCTGAACTTGACTTCACTGAAATTATCACTTCGCGTGTGCATGATCAAAATAGGACAGCATGCACTTTTGTATATAAAAGGAAAGAATGTTGCAACCTGACGCTGCTTTTTTCTTCTCAGTGAAGGTCAGTTATTGCAAAAATGACAATAGGACACGAATTTGGGACTGAGAAACTTTTCCAAATTTGTTAGGAAATACTTAAAAAAATTTCTTGACTCTCCATAGACTTTGTACACAACCGCTGCAGTAGCGTCAGGTTGCAACATTCTTTCCCAGTAAAATACATACTACACTTTTTAGCAATATTTTTAATTATTTGTCTAGGAATTGAAGGATCTTGCCAGAGAACCTCTTCAAATATTCTCTGCAGGACCAGTCGATGGTGATCGTGAGTACAAATAATGCACCTATTAAATACTTCCCGCCACCCCCCCCCCCCCCCTCCCTCCCTGGCTGCCCCGCCCGTGATGTGGGGATTGTAGTTTGAAGTGACCAAATCCCACTGGTCTCTATATAAAGACTGGATAGCGGATAAAGAGCCGCACAATGAATGACTTTGACGCCATATTGGTGAGACCGGTGAGACCGGCTGGTGATCTACAAAGGACAAGTTGCCGTCTTTATAGACAGCATGATTACTTTTGTAACATCGCGGTTCACTTGACTTATATTTTGACCACCACCACTGACCACAGTTTACAATTTCTCTAACGTCGTGGTTTACTTTTTTTTTAATGCCACAGTTCACTTTTTCGGTGTTTTGGAAATAATAATCACTACAGAAATGTGTCCTTTTTACAACATTATAATACGTGTACGTGACCAAAATGCGCGTCAACTCTTGATACAGCGCGCGCTGTATATACACGTAGAACGTTCATAATATATGCGGCCATCTTTGTGAGACCGGGGCCGATTGGTCAATATGCGAAGTTTACTGTGTGACTGGTGTATGGATATCCGCTATCCAGTCTTTATATAGGACGAGTGCCAAATCCCAACCCTTGGGGCAAAATTTCACTAACAATCTCCAGCATATATGGGTGGGTCTTGGTCCGAAACTTTGGGACTCTCAAAACTGTGTATAAGAGTCCCAAAACTTAAACAACCAGTCGAACATTAGTACTGGCTACTGCTGGGCGAGTAACTCCAGCACTCCCGAGTAGTTTATGCTACTCGTTGTTCTACTCATGGCGTTTCATCTACTCGAGTACTCGTCCTGGTGCGAGTAGAAGCAGGTACTTGCAAGTAGCAATTTAGGATTTAGGGTTCACGGCTTAATACGTCCCCTGCAAACAGGAAATCACTCCCTCCACCTCTCTCTCCCTAGGATTCCATTCGTCCAAAAACAAAAAATCAACTAAATTACCCAAAAGGTCGCACAGTAACGAAATCTCGGCGCTGAAGAATTTGGTGTGACTTGCACACTATTTTGCTTGTTACATGTAGTTACTCACGCCATACTAACATATGTCATTTTTCTGCTTTTATGGGAATTTGGTTTTAAACAACTCGCAAGTACTCGACTACTCTCGAGTAATTTCTTTGTGAGTACTCGAGTAGAAAAATCCACTACTCACCCAGGCCTGGTATGGCCCTCCCCTCTCGCCTCAGGCCATTATCTGCGTTCAGACTCCTAGCCGGTTCTAAATGTACTTGTTTAAAACTGGCCAAGCACATATATATTCCCTTATTTCAAGCTATTTTCCTGGAATTTCAAGCAAATTTCCTTGACAAAAGTGAGTTGATTGAAATGCCAAAATTACATAGATACGTAAAAATCTTATACAGATTTTTGTTACTTTTCTTTTTTCCACGTGTCCATGAAGTATTTCACTGGCAGGCATCAATGAAGGGTCCAGTAAGTATAATTTTATCATTTATCGAGTTTGATCCCTAAAAGTACTGAATATGTTAGAAAGAAAGAGTATCGAGTGCAAAAACAGAGGGGTAGATAGAGTTTGAAATTTCCTTCTTCAGCTTTAAAAATTAGTATTTAAATAACGTTAGAATTTGCAGCTTCAATTTCGTATTTTTGGTTGTGTTTTCTGTCCATCTGCAGAGTGAAAGTCCATACCAGAATGGTGTCTTTTTTCTTGAGATACGTTTCCCGAGAGATTACCCTTTCAAACCACCAAAGGTAGGGAGACATTATTCAAGCTAATTTTGTAAAGTTGAGTCTTATAGCCTTTTTAATTGTTTGTTGAAGTTGAATCCTATTAAGTTAAATACAGAACTTTTAATAAGGATGCTTTTTGAGCCAGTTCGCGCCGGGATAATTTTGACATTGACTGGACCCAGGCGCGGGATTGTTTTTCACGAACCTCGCTGCCAGACGGGTTCAGGCCGTCATCTGCGGGTAGCACACCCTGATATTTCCGGCCTCGCTCGCTGCGAGTGGGTTGCAGACAGATATTACCAGCCTTGCTCGTTGCGTGTTTATCCGTCATCCGTTCCGAATACCGCAAAACCTTTGCGTGTATACACATCATCCGATGTGAACTGGTAAAGAACATGCAAGGATCGTAGTCAGGGGCATTGCCAGACTGATTTGAATGGGGGGGGGGGGGAGTGGACAACAAATTGCCGACAGACCCTGCATGCTGGAAGGTAGACATCGTCGTCGTAAAATCAAAGTGGGGGGGGGGGGGGTGCCACCTGACTATTTAGGGGGCTGTTCAAAACGGGCGATGTTGAACACAATCAGACACTAGTGGTGCCGTTCATTGTTGCGGCATGTTTGCCAACTGGCACAAGATTTTACCAACTGGACGATGATTTTGCCAACAGAAGTAGTCCACCCCTTCTTTTTGTGTTGGCCATTGTTTCCAGAATCTCAGGAATTCTTTTGAGATATCTAGGGGAATGTGTTAGGTAACAGTAGTCTTGGGTGTGTATAGGGTAAAGGGACACTGTCTTGATTCTAAAATCGTGCACGGTATAAAAATTATTAATGGGAGCGTCACACTCCCCCCCCCCCCCCCCTCCCCCACTTTGATCCTAATTTATTAATTGCAGCCGGATACATTGTCCTTATGTCCATTCATTGACTGTTCATGTACTACAGTCACTGAATTCCACAGATATTTTCAATATTTTGAATTGTCGTTTATGTAACCAGGTGCAATTTCAGACGAAAATCTACCATCCAAACATCAACACAAACGGCAGCATATGTCTAGATATACTGAGATCTCAGTGGTCCCCCGCACTTACCGTATCCAAAGGTAAGTTGTAGATAGTGAACAAAGCATGCTGGGAACCAGTTTAACCCTTTGAGCACTTGTATAACATTGTACTTCAATTTACTCCTTGATAAATCCATAAAACAGTAGAGTGCTCAGGCGGTTTTGGGCGGTACAGGGAGTAACAGGCAGGGTGGTTTGGGGCAGTACAGGGAGTAACAGGCAGGGTGGTTTGGGACAGTACAGGGAGTAACAGGCAAGGTGGTTTGGGACAGTACAGGGAGTAACAGGCAGGGCGGTTTGGGACAGTACAGGGAGTAACAGGCAGGGCGGTTTGGGACAGTACAGGGAGTAACAGCATGGGCGTCGCGAGGGGGGGCAAGGGGGGGCACTTGCCCCCCCTGGAAAAGCAAAAAAAAAAAAAAAAAAAAAAAGGAAGAGAAAAAAGAAGAAAAAAAAAGAGGCGCGAAGACATAATGGTGTAAATTTAATGGGTTGGGGGGGGGGGGGCAAAATGTCCCTTCCCCCCTCTAAAACTGATAAATCGAGAATGTGTTGAAAAATACAGGCATTTTTTGGCAAATTTTTTTTTTGCCCCCCTCTATAAAAAATCCTGGCGACGCCCATGAGTAACAGGCAAGGTGGTTTGGGGCAGTACAGGGAGTAACAGGCAGGGTGGTTTGGGGCAGTACAGGGAGTGACAGGCAGGGTGGTTTGGGGCAGTACAGGGAGTAACAAGCAGGGCGGTTTGGGGCAGTACAGGGAGTAACAGGCAGGGTGGTTTGGGGCAGTACAGGGAGTAACAGGCAGGGTGGTTTGGGGCAGTACAGGGAGTAACAGGCAGGGTGGTTTGGGGCAGTACAGGGAGTAACAGGCAGGGTGGTTTGGGACAGTACAGGGAGTAACAGGCAGGGTGGTTAGGGGCAGTACAGGGAGTAACAGGCAGGGTGGTTTGGGGCAGTACAGGGAGTAACAGGCAGGGTGGTTTGGGGCAGTACAGGGAGTAACAGACACGGGAGTTTTGGGCGGTACAGGGAGTAAGAGGCAGGGCGGTTTGGGACGGTACAGGGAGTAACAGGCAGGGTGGTTTGGGGCGGTACAGGGAGTAATAGGCAGGGTTGTTTGGTAACGGTACAAGGAGTAACAGGCAGGGCGGTTTGGGGCAGTACAGGGAGTAACAGGCAGGGTGGTTTGGGGTGGTACAGGAAGTAACAGGCTAGGTGGTTTGGGGCAGTACAGGGAGTAACAGGCAGGGTGGTTTGGGGTGGTACAGGGAGTAACAGGCAGGGTGGTTTGGGGTGGTACAGGAAGTAACAGGCAGGGTGGTTTGGGGCAGTACAGGGAGTAACAGGCAGGGTGGTTTGGGGTGGTACAGGGAGTAACAGGCAGGGTGGTTTGGGGCAGCACAGGGAGTAACAGGCAGGGCGGTTTTGGGGTGGTACAGGAAGTAACAGGCTAGGTGGTTTGGGGCAGTACAGGGAGTAACAGGCAGGGTGGTTTGGGGTGGTACAGGGAGTAACAGGCAAGGTGGTTTTGGGTGGTACAGGAAGTAACAGGCAGGGTGGTTTGGGGCAGTACAGGGAGTAACAGGCAGGGTGGTTTGGGGTGGTACAGGGAGTAACAGGCAGGGTGGTTTGGGGCAGCACAGGGAGTAACAGGCAGGGTGGTTTGGGGCGGTACAGGGAGTAACAGGCAGGGTGGTTTGGGGCAGTAGAGGGAGTAACAGGCAGGGCATTTTTGGGCAGTACAGGAAGTGCGGTTACTAGCCAGCTCATTCTGGTACCCATTTATATTCCTGGGTGGAGAGTGGCAAGTGGGGGTAAAGTGGCTTGCCCAAGGACACAAGATGTGGTCGGAAGCTGGATTTGAACCCCTGACCCTCTGATCATGAGCCACGAGCCTTTACCACTAGGCAGCACTCCTGAAACAGAAAATAAAATAAAAAATCTTCTAAATTTTTTTCATTTTATATTTACTTTTTCATTTAGTACTACTATCCATCTCATCGCTACTCACCGACCCCAACCCAGACGACCCTTTAGTTCCTGAGATCGCTAGAGTCTACAAAACGGACAGGGACAGATACAACAAGATGGCAAAAGAGTGGACGAAATCCTACGCCCACACATGATGAGGTGTTACTTTTAAGAACGAAGGTTTAATATCTCAGGAGCCCAAGACTCACAGATTGTGTATCGACAACGATACGACACACCGGTGAATTGGGATTCAAATATCAAAAAAAAAGTTCATGATTTTTTTTCGTTGCCTTCAAAAAGGCGAACCGTTCAAGTTGCATGCACTGCAAAAAGAAGTACTGTAATTTAAAGGGACAAAAGTACAGTACAGGGGTTTTAACTACGGCAGTCCACGTGAAAGTTGTCGGGGACTGACGTCGCTGATTAACGTTGCCTCTGTTCTAAGTCGAAGTTGAATGGCACGTTTGAGACTTTTACAAAACTGCAAACTCAAACTACGACTGAAAATATAGGATTAACAGTACTGTGTTAAGCTTACAAATAATGGGGGTGTATTTGACGGAAATATTTGTGCACTTATAAATTGCTCCCATTTTGCCTAAAATGTTAGGTAAAGTAAAAACGCTTTCCTGGCATTGCTCGAGACAAAACTTGATATTATATTCTGTAGGTAATTGTCGATCGCGCCCATTTTGCCTGGAACTGTGTGTAGTTGTTATTTCAAATGGGTCTTTGAGAATCATGTGTTGTCTTATTTAAAAATCTATTTATTACTAAAAAAATTAATGAATGCAGAGCGAGCTGTAATTCTAAAAATAAAATAAAAATTATCTGCCCTACAATTAGACTGGCTCCCGGTCCTTATATTGTATTTGAAAAGGCTCTATTATCATGAATTCCATCTAACAATGATCGAGAAGATTTCCGTTGTAAAGTGTTACGCAATTGTGAAAGTTGGCTTGGTATGTGTCGTAGACTAAAGGGCCCGGAAAGAGTTACTTCAAAAGCCAGTATTCTGTGAACATCTTGTTTATGTTTAATTGTATGTACATGTATTTACTTATCAATATAACTATCTTCTTTTTGGAAGGTTTATGAGACTTAAACTTGTTGGGTTTTTTTGGGGGGGGGGGGGTGAAACCATGGTCATCTTCGTCTTTACGTTATGTACGTGATGTATTCAACAAGTCTGTCAAATCACTTCGAATTTAGTCCCAAAATGTTGGACTCTCAATCAATACTGTACTGCGCATGAGAGTCCCAAAACTTAAGATAGTGAAAACAGGCAACGCAAGAAAATAGACTGGCACATGAAACAACCAATTCAACAACCCTTCAGTACTGCATCAATCAACTGTGTCATCAGAAACATCTGGTACCTAGTCTCTATTTCTACACATTCTCTCCATTGTCATGCCACCAGACTACTGAAAGGTCAACCTGTTCAAAAAGTTGGATATGTACCAGTCTAGTCTTAGGCTTCAAATTGAAATCACTTTGCTTCACTCTCGGGTGTGAATTGTAGAAGAAAGGTCTCCTTTAAAAATTGAATTGAGACCTCGAACTTGGCTGGTGAAATACTGAGGACCTTGTCTTTGCCTCTTGAGTGAGTAAAGTGAGCTAAGAGTGAGTAAAGTTGGCTTGATTTGGTTTTGCATGTTTTTCTGAGCTCAATGTCCCAGTCTGCTTCAAATGACGCACACAAAACTAAAAAGGTTGTATTCCATGTCCAAGTCATTCAAGAATTATTTTGGCACAGTATGGGTGCAGCATAAACAGATCATGTTGTTTATAGGGGAAGTATTTGGGGGAATTGTGCCTTTGATGATTCAAGCATGAAATTGGGGCATAATAATGTAATGAGAATGATATTTGGCTATAGGGCCATTGCAGATTTGTCCTTTAAAAAGATATAGGTAGAATAACAAGCAATTTTCAAAATGTTCAAATCACTGGCATAGCTTGTTATTCTACCTATATTTTTTTCGAAGGACAAATCTGCGATGGCCCTGGAGCCAAATGTCTGTCTCATGACATACTCTGACCGTGTGGCAAATGCCATGCTTGTATCATCAAAGGCACAATCCCATCACCTATTTGCCGTACTATTAAGGGAAAAAGTAAAGTGAAATAAGCAGCAAACGTTAGTATCTGCAATTTGGATCTTTCCCCAATCCTTGCCTGTAGACGGTTTGCAGTGCAGCCATGTTGGAGGTGGGTGCTTTTGTTCAACAGGGATAGGCATGGGTACCAGGTAATATGGGTAGACCTGTGGTACATTAATTGGTAACCCTCCTAGGCAAACATACATGTACATTCTGTGCAAATTTGTCCTTTCAGCCAAGATCAATCAAGTGACTGTTGTCAACAGTTACAAGAGCTCCCAGCCTACATAAAGCAGGATTGACTGGCCGTGACTGTTTATGTAACTCGATACAGCTTTGCTTTGACTGTGGGTGATTGATAAGCCAGCTGTGCCCACAACTTGCCTTTACCTGTTCATGGCCTGTTCGAATTTGACTTGTCACAGTGCTTGCTTAAAGCACAACCTCCAAAGCGTGATGTCATTATGTTTCATTTCTATACTTCGGAAAAAGATACTGTGTAATCGTATGGGAAATCTAACAATGTTAATCGCTATTTGCTCTCTGTTCATTCTTGTAGTCATATCTCATATATTTATTTTATATGTGTATACTGTAATAAACATTTTGCCGACTAGAAATTATTGACAAAGTCAAGTGGTGTGTTTGTCTTGTGATATTAAAGGGAATATACAACATTTGCAAACATCGAAAAACAAAATTACCAAATATTTAAGAAATACCTTATTAGGATGTTGGTAAATAACAGTCTAAAGCATCCTGTAAAATAATGGCAACTGGTGTGAAGTTATTTTAAAGAAAAGTGGTATTTTAGTATAAATTTCCAACGGTGGTCGGCCGACCACCGTTGGAAAAACCTAACTATTTTTCAACTACTGCTCCAAATTTACCATTTTTTTCAGTCAAAACTTTGTTTGCTATTGGTTACATGTTCATGAACAGGTGCAGGCCAGCTAGACTGGTTCCCTTACCTTACAATTTTCCGGCATCTATAAATTGATCCATTTCATCTTTATTGGAGTCAGGGAACCAGACTACTTGAACATTAATGTTTTTCTCGGTTTTTCCAGTATTTTTTTAACACAAAACCTCAAACAAGTCAGTGTAACAATATTCGATCTATTATACTAACCCCTCAAATAGTTCATTTCTGAAAATTACAGCAAAAGCCAATGATGTACATTCCCTTTAATAATATATAAATGGAAACTTTTTCAAGACTATTCTTCGTAAGAATATAGGCCTAAATCAGTCCAAAACTTCCAATTCTGGAATATTTATTTTTTTTTTTTAAAGAACTCAATGAAAAAGATTAATACTCCGATAATCAAATACATATTAAAATTGCAAGGACTTTTTTCAAGACTTTTCGTCATTCCAAGATGATAAAATACACACACTTTTTGTGCTGATAAATAAACGAATTCCCCCCCCCCCATTTTTTAAGCGAATGCTTGGGTTGTAATTATATTTATATTAACTCATGTTCCAACATTCATTTACTTTTTCCCTTAACATTTCCTTATTTTTCTCTTTCATAGAAATTGGTTCATAGAAATTGGTTCGACACAAATTTCGAAGTGAAAAAAAAAATGAGAAAAGAGGGATTCAATTACTCTAATAAAATAAACACTTTTATCCCACGCAAGAGTCTTCGAAGTTGAAAGAAATATTGCTGAATTTGACTTTTTCCCTGAAAAAGTTTAATGTGATTCAAAGTTATCCAGAACTTAAATCAAAACACGTTTTATGATTCAAGTCATAAATTCAGATATTGTAAATAAGTTTTAAGATTTACAATACAAAAACTTACACTGAAACTCATGGAAGAGAGCATAAATATCTCATAGTACGTTTTTATTTCTGTACCGTGACAAATTGTAACACACACTTTTCACTGTTTTGTAATAATTGGCCTGAATTCGATAGAATTTCTTTTCAGGGCGGAATCAGTACGAGGTGTTTTGTTTTTTTGGGGGGGGGGCAACAATTTCAAGTGTCTATAGTTGCAGGCCAGTAAATCGGTCCAAAATTGCCTACGCCGGCCAAATCACGATTTGCATGCCCTCGAATTTGAGCATATTGTGGGCCATGAACTTGAGGGTTTGTAAAAAAATACGGGTGGAAGCCCTGCACAGGACTGTGAGCTTTCAGCTTGCAATGGAGTGAAGGCATCGTTGGCGATGGGCTTCAGGACCGTAGAGCGAGCCAGGCGAGGACGTGCGAAGAAAAATCGGGCCGGCGACATCGGCCGGTCGTAAGAAGCTTGTTCACATTATTTTTGAGGAAACAAATCCGTAAAAACAAATTACCGTTTCATTTTCTAAAGACGTGATAATGTTGAAATAGTAGTGACGAAGTTGAAAATCTGTAGCTGTCCAAAAACAAATAGTAGAAGTCAGGCGCGGGTCCAAAGGGGGACGAAACACCCCCCCCCCCCCCCCCCACCGGTCAGACACACACGAAAAATAAATAATGTTTAATCAAATATAATAATGACACGGTCCGCCTGTCCTCAATAAATCCTGCAAAAAATCCTGGATCCGCCCCTGAACGCACCCGATAGCTCAAAAAAGCCTGCATAATAATAGTGTTCACTGTTGCGTAACTCTAAGTACATTTAGCACAAGATGTTTAATTTCCCGTCGTCAAATACCAACGGTACCTTAGCTTAATCGGTAAGCTCTGCGGCTGGTACTGTCCGTGAGTTCCAGGTTGGCGTCTTCGTACAGGTTCAGGGCATGTGGTCCACTCGGAGGACCAGGGCTTAGGGTGCCGCCCTGTTCCTCCCTTAGCTCTTTGCTTTTACATGGCGCCTGGCCCTCCGGGGTAACATGGATGGACAGGGAAGGAAGTGTGTATTGGCCGGGACCCCCGAGATCCCAGAAGAGAACTAAGGGGTTGGCTGGGGCATTGTTATGGCTCAGACCGATCCCTGAAAGCTTGGCTAGCACATAACTTTTTGATTTTTTTTTAATCCTCTATTTTTTTTTTAACTTTGCTTTAGTTGGATATTTACATTTGCCCGGCAGGTCTCCGGTAGTATTTAAAAAGGAATCAAAGGTATACGTCGTGAATCTATGAATATTAAATAATTGATTATTATCAAAATTAAGTTTCGTTCGATCAATATGACTACGGTAACCGTTCATTTTACGTCAATTGGTAAATTTTGTAGAAGTTAAAAAGAATCCAAAAAAAATCGCGCAAAATTTTGGCCTCAGAATTTTTTTTTTTTTTTTAATGCTTGACATCGACATGAGCTGATTTTTTTTGTTCAATTAATTAATTTGGATTTTCGAATTAAGAGCGGGATGCTCGGATCCTTATTCGTTTTGAATAGTGTGCGCAATTTCAGAACTGGAGCGCGCAATTTAAAACCAACTTTTCAAACTGTGTAAAGGCCTGCAAACTAGCTGGATATTTTTGGTTCTACTTTCCCGATATCTTTGGCGCCTATTTTACCCAATAGCGCACCCAGGATTTAGCTTGGGGGGGGGGGGGGGGGGGGTTCTCACAATTTTGGGGTTTTTTTTTTCCAAACAAATTGGGTGTTTTTTTGGTGGGAGGAGGGAATATTTTGACGTTGGTGGCGCCACTTACACCCCTATTATAATACTCGAAAATATGCCACATACATATCGGTCAATTCGTGGACCAAAAAAATGAACTCCCTCCAAAAAAAATATTACAAATTAACAACCTCTACGAGTGGGAGGGGTCAACCCCCCCCCCCCCCCCTTGGGTGCGCCACTAATTTCATCCACCTCTGGCCAGTGGCACAGCGGTAGAGGGGTGTTTGCAGAGGGGGGTCAGACAAGTCGACCGTTGAGACAACTCGACTCGGGACAAGTCGCCCGTTGAGACAACTCGACCGTTGAGACAACTCGACCGTATGTGCGATAAATGGAAAGACAAGTCGACCGTTGAGACAAGTCGCCTCGCATGTTTTTGGGCCTAGTTTTGGGGATAGTACCGGGGATTTTGACGGCGGCTGATCGCCGTTTGGGAGTTATGACACGTAACAGAGCAGAGCCGATATAGCGCAGCGTGATTGTCCGTGCACATCGTTCGTTTTTGCCGGGCCTGTGCGCGCATCTCCGGTCAACCGCGTGGCCGTACCGTGCACGTGCCGTGCACGTTAGCTGTCTCAACGGTCGAGTTGTCCCGAGTCGAGTTGTCTCAACGGTCGACTTGTCTCAACGGTCGACTTGTCCCGAGTCGAGTTGTCTCAACGGTCGACTTGTCTGACATTCTTGCAGAGTGGCAAATTGCAAACTGCTAGCTACAGATTTCAGGGGTGATCATCATTCGGATGGAAATTTCTCCTAAAATTAACAAGTTCACCCCCGAAAATTGAAAAGAAAATGAAAGATGATGAAATAAGCATTAATTTGATGTGTGTTTTGAACACCTTGGAAAGTTGTGAGTATTTTTCCTGAATTTCTGAAGACAGGGCATCATATTGTCTGCAACCTATTGTGTGCTAACAGAAAACTAGGCATTTACGCGTTTCCGTATGGACGACACACAGCAAAAGAACTGTACAGTTAGAGCGTGGTTTCCACTATGGACGTAAATCGGCCTTCAGAGGACTTTAGTGACGGTGAAGTTGTTCACACAGCAATGGATGCATTCCACACACAGAATCAGGCAAAATGGAGTTCCCTTTCGGGAACTAAAAACAGGCCGAGAGAGGCTGTCCGAGTCGTGCTTACAGTGTTTTCTTAATGGCAAAGTGTCTGTCCCCTGTTTCGGAGACAACGGGGTGGAGAATCTTGCTTATGGACATTTTTCTGTGAATGTGATCGTGTACGAATGAATGTACATTTCGCAAGCTATACGTCGTGCAAAAACCCGGTTCGGCAGGTTGTGTTAATTCCATAGTGTGTGCAGACTGTCGGACCGGATCAAAAATGCCCATTTATGCGTTTCTACATTGCGCAAAGCCACACACTAGCACTGTACATTTTCTATGGGATTGGGGGAAACGAACATTGTGTATATAACCAGCCTTATGGGGACAATTTGTAACATCAAATCCCATACGCAGTACGTGGATTGTGTGCCGGATAAAAATGCTCATTTAGGCGTTTCCATAGGGCCTTTTTCTTCACACGCTGGACTTGTACGCTACATGTACACATGTATATGGAGACGTGCATAATAGGGAACAAAATATTCGTCTCCTCGCAGCAATTTCTATAGGTGAATACGTCTCCACAAGATTATCAGGAAATAGATATATGGATTTACTCAAAAACTAGGAATTTCCAAGGTGTGTTGATTTGTCACAAATTGAAGTATTTTATGTAAGGCGGATATTAAGTCCTAATTTCAGCCCAGGAAATAAATTCTGGTTAAAAAAGAGCAGTTTGGAACCAGATTTTCAAACTCTAATAGTTTAGTGCACGCGAGAACAACTTGACTCCACAACGGTGCAAATTCCAGTATGTGTGTATGGGGACAATTTGTGACGACCAAACTAGATATAGCCTGAAAGTACGCCATTTCGTCTTTGAGCTTCCGGACCCCTCCGTGACACGGGGTTGCCCTTTCTGTTGCTTTAATTTTTGACAGAATGATTTCTAACCCGTTAATCATCTCAAGAAACATTCATGTTGGAATTGTATCTTGACAAAAAAATGACGAGAAATCATTTGTAGATGGGTAAAAACGAATTTTACTTGCGACCTTTCACATCCGGATTTTTGTACCTACTAGGTCGCTTGTTCAGTCACATTTGTTTCACATCGCGTACTTCGCCGAGAACGAAAATAATAACGACGCGAAAACTTTACCTGCCTACATCCGATGGATTTTAGATTTAGTCGGGCTTGTTTGAATACAGTTCTTATCAACGGTCATTTTAGGTTTGTTTGTAAATCATAATGAGTCCCTCAAGTTTATTCACAAACATTGTTGGTCCTAAAAGACATTCTACTCTCCTATTTAAGTTTCAGTTTTCACCCAATGACGTAATGACCGCCACAAAATTATGGCATAATTGTTCATCTTTGTACGAGTGCTCCGAGTTGCAATAGTCCACATGTAAAGTTAAGATTTTCGGAAGTGAGAGGTCAATTTTTTGAACGATAATTCCTTTATGCGATCTATTATTCAGTTTCCCTAATGCCAGTAACAAATTTCACACAGGCCTTTTCCGAGGGTGATTTTCTTAAGAAATCAATGTACCAAAAATAATTGGGGAAAAAAAACCTCCGACTTTTACAGGCCAATTTTCTATTCTAGGGGTCCGGAAGCGAGCCGTACACCAGGGGTCAACTTTCAGGCTCTATATTATGCAAGCAAAACAAAACAAAACTGTCTTGACCTCGAAATTTTGACCATTCAGCGGGTGCCTTCTATCGGGTATTCTGTAGCCCGTTGTTGTATTACAAAAACATGGCATCCAGATTGACCAATCCACAGCTTAGTCCAGATTTCTGATCGAAATGACGTGACAATCTCTTAAGTCGACTCCGATTGGCTGGCATGCGGGGTCGCATAAAATTTGCAATGCTCACATAATTATATCAGAGGGTTCCGATCCGTTGAACAACGGACGATATAATATTCAAACATGACGGAAGGTTTCCCGTATTCCTCGCAACACTCTGCGTTCCATCCGCACCTGGGTTCCTTGTTATGTAAATGTTTGCCGCGCTTTTCAAATCCACTGAAGCAGGGCGTGTACACGGACGTCGCCATGTTCCAGTGGGTTTTTTCCCCTATGTGTTATCAACCGACTGCAGTTATGCTACGTCATGTACAGTCTTCGGGCTTGTTTCAAGTTCTATGTCCTCCGTGAAATGATAGCTGACAGTGAAAAACGAAGCTGAATTTTCTTAGCTGACATACCGGTACACTGAGTGGTGAGTTTCTCTTTTCCAGTTTACCATAACTGCACTATATATCGTTGTGATAGTAGCTTATAATAGGTCTACGTGCATTGTGTTGGGACTGTTCAATGGTTAGCCACGGAAGAAGTCTCTCAACTACTGGACGTCCTCCATGTTGTGTGAGCCACACAGCGATGCATGCTAAATTTCCAGAAAAGTTTTTTGATTCCCTGAATTTGAGAAGGTATCCTTTCCCTCACGTGGTATTTTACTATGGACACTACTCGTGAAAGAGCCTGAAAAAACCATGGAAAGAACAGTTGCAACCTGACGCTACTATACTTCAGCGGTTGTGTACAACGTCTATGGAGAGTCAAGAAACATTTTAAGTATTCCCTAACAAAATTGGAAATGTTTCTCAATCCCAGATTCATGTTTTATCATCATTTTTACGATGAATAACCTTCATTGAGATGATATATGAAAAAAGCAGCGTCAGGTTGCAACATTCTTTCCAAAATCAAATTTCGTACGTTTTGAGGTTTAGTTTTCCTTTATTTATGAGGGATATTTGGAGGAAGTTTGAAATACATGTAACATCAATATGTGGCTCACAAAACATTTATGAGGCTGGTAATATGGATATGGGGATTGAATGTTAAAAAAATACCCATGTAAAAAAATCATTGTACAGAAGTGATACAATGTGAAGGTTGGCTACTCAAATACACATAATTCATAAAACAAGATAATTAAGGCAGGCCTAGTAAAACTGGTCCCAGAGTGCACACAATTCTACTCAATTGATCCAGAATGGCTATTCACTGGAAGTCTTTTTATGCATCTGGTCTACATAGTGTGCCAGATTTAGCCAATTCATTGGTGTTATGGGGGTAATCGTATACGAAAGCACTGCCCGGCTCACAAGTGACAATCAGTGAGTCGATTTCAATTCAATCAACATGTATTTCCATAATGCCAGAAAACTTTTAATAAACAATGTAACAAAGTGAAGTTGTGAGTCAGTCGGTGGGGTAGGGACAAAGAGGACTCTTGGCTGGCCCTCTGGGACCAGCACATGAACAGTTTGTCTAAGGCCTTGCTACAATTCTTTCCTTTGTTTTCTAGGTCCCTGAAACGTGATGCACAATTTCTCAATTGTCCCGCTTTTGAAACCAGAGCCAGTCACTCCGACCATAATCGTAGAAGCTCATGCATCCCTCCCGCGCCCAATACCTCTAGTCCTGGGAATCTTAGTTGGTGCCCAAATTATCATCATCCTGTCAGTCTTGCTGTACGTCCTGGGGTGCAGCAGAAACCCCGACAAAGCCTCGTACGATGAGATAGGCCGATCACCGCTATCGCGCCGCTTCTGGAAGAAACTCCGGGCAAGACTGAGACGCCAGGACGGAGAAAGCTTCATCAGGAAGACGTCCAAGTACAGAGTCCAGGATTCCAAGTTCTTGGAGAATTGGCGAGAGAAGAAGCGAGACATCATCGTCCCGCAGCACGTCCAGAGCTTCTCCGGTCCCATCGAGTTCACCATCCCGACCAAGACCGAGGCCCTAGTCCGGCCAAAGGCTTCCGAGAGGATGAAGCAGTTCCCGCTGCCTCCCGTAAAGAAACCCAGCAAGGATCCGTGGATGTCTCCCAAGAGACGGAACCCCTTCCTGACCAGTTCCATGCGAACCCGGAGCCTGCAGACCGAGGATCAGAAGTCTCAGCTCGCCGGGGTGGAAACCCGAATGTCCCGGTCGCACTCCGTCCCAATCGACCTGGGGCAGGCGGTGGCAGCTCTGGCAGCCAAGACCGACCAAACATCAGCCTACAAGACCGCCATTGGACAAATCGAGCCGGACCTGTACCGCATAGACGAACAACACGAGCTGTACACACCGTCAAAATTCGGGCTCGGTAAACTGTCCTTTTCGCTCTTCTACGACTGGCGCGAAAGCCAGCTGACGCTGTACGTCATCCAGGCCGTACAGCTACCGGCACGCACGGAGCGCGCAACGGCCGATAGCTATGTCGCAGTGTCCTTATTACCAGACGAAGAAAAGCGATCGGCAACTTCAAAGGTAAGTTTTTAGAAGCTACCATAACCCTGCTACATGCAACAGAAAGCAACAAAGTTGTTGCATACTGTTGCATTTAGCAGCCACTCATCAGTGTCCCCGTGCTCTGTTGCATCTTGTTGCATTTAGCAGGGTAACTGCTCATAGTGCCAAGGCAATATATACAAGAGTATCCACTGTTGCAGTGTGTTGCATTTAGCAGGGTAACTGCTAATTGGTGCCAAAGTTGGTGTGCACTGGGTTCACTGCACAATGCAACAGAATCCACTGCTGCAGTTTTTTGCATTTATCAGGGTAAATGCTTGGTGCCAAGGTTGGTGTGCACCGGGTTCATTGCACAATGCAACAGAATGCACTGTTGCAGTTTGTTGCATTTAGCATGGGTTCTCTTGGATATTGTTGCATTTATAGCAGAGTACCTGAAGAAACCCGATGGGGGTTAGGGATTTTAAACTACTCGTTTTTTTTTCATTTATAAGTCGATGAGACGATGTCCACCCCGGCCCTGAATCTTCCTTAACGGCTTCTTGTCAAAGTTAAACCGACACCTATCATTCATTCATTCATTTTGAAGAATCTTAAACTTGAACAGACAAATTGACTGGAGCTGGGTTTGAACCTGCGACTTCCGGTTTGCCGTTCCGGTGCTTTACCAACTGAGCTATCCGACCTAGTTCGCGGTTCTCCAATTTATCAATGTCTTTGTTCAAGAGGCGCTATAGAAACCATAAACGCTGTATCCTCTCTTAGTAATGCCCGCTTGCCATTTCCCAGGTTGGCAGCATTGCTGATGTTTCAATAGTATCGTGTTTTTGGACGTGATCCCTGGCTTAATATGCATAAGCATATACGGGGTTTTATGGCTTCCGAATAGTGCCCCTTGAACAAAGACATTGACAAATTGAGACACCGCCAACATAGGGTTGGATAGCTCAGTTGGTAGAACATCGGAACTGCAATCCAGAGGTCGCATGTTCAAACCCCGCCGAAGAAAATTTCTTCGTTCGACTTTCAAATAACTGTAATGTACCGACTCAGTTTCCCTTTTTGTGGTTTATTTGATAATTTGAAGAAGACAAACTAAATGCTACAATGTTCAATTTACTTTTGATTTATTTCTTAAGATCCAGCGGCGAACTCTCAACCCCATCTACCGGCAGAACTTCATCTTCCGCCTGCCGGAGGAAGAGTTCACCGACACGGTCGTCAAATTGACGGTGGTTGGTTTGGACGGTTACTCCCACCCGGTCCATATCGGCCAGGTCGTGTACCCACTGCGCACGCACGACTTTGGCTCCTCCTCCAGTGACGTCAGCCAACCGATTTGGCGCGATATTGAAAAGTTAGATTCGGTGAGCATGACGCATGCGTCATTTTGACATAATATGTTCAACTAGATGAGAGAAAGTTACTTCATTTCCGTTTTTCCTTCTGCTAGTTTGTTGTGCCTCCTAGCCTTGTGTTTGGATTATACCCGTAAAAGATTACCAAAAGACTTCATTTAATAATATCATATAAATGCAACAATAAAAAAACAAAATGTACTTTCAAATTCCATGAAAAACAAAACAAGAAACAAAACCACAGATGTTTTGGAATGTTGAAAAAAAGAAGACAATAGGATCATTTGCTTTTCATGCATTTTGTTAGAGTTCAATAACACCACTCAAAATTCAAAGAAGAATGTTCAAAACCTAACCTGTTGAAGTTTCAGCTCAGTGGATATTACAGTTTCGAGACAACAGTGAAAAACTATGCACGACCTTTTGATCACGAAACATGCACGATTTCACCAACATCTTTCTTTATTTCCCAAAATCAGTCAATTCACCTACATTTCTCGATTTCTTCTAAATGACAGCAAGCCAGACGGAATAATTTCACGGGGTGTTTAGTACCCGTACGATCTTTAAAGGGAATATACAACATTTGCAAACATCGAAAAATAATACTACCAAGTTTTAACGAAATACCTTACTAGGATGTTGGTAAATGACAGTCTAAAGCATCCTGTAAAATTATGGCACCTGGTGTCGAGTCATTTCCAAGAAAATCGTATTTTTGTATACATTTCCAACGGTGGTCGGCCGACCACCGTTGGAAAAACCTAACTATTTTTCAACTACTGCTCCAAATTTACAATTTTTTTCAGTCCAAATTTTGTTTGCCATTGGTTACATGTTCATGAACGGGTGCAGGCCAGCTAGACTGGTTCCCTTACCTTACAATTATCTGACATCTATAAATAGATCCATTTATCTTTAGTGGGGTCAGGGAACCACACTACTTAAACAGTTTTGTTTTTCTTGGTTTTTCAAGCATTTTCGAACACAAAACTTCAAACATGTCAGTTAAACAATATTTGATATATTTTACTAACCCCTCAAATAGTTCATTTCTGAAAATTACAGCAAAAGCCAATAATGTACATTTCCTTCAATACAAGCAAGCTTTTTGATAGTAATAGGTAGGTTACTTTTGCAAATGATCCTACACGCCTTCAAACTTTGACAAAGGGTCACGCAAACTTCAAACTAATTCCCACAATCTGCCATTCCACAGCCAGAGGAACCCCAACAAGGTGACATCCTGGTCTCTCTGACCTACTTACCCAATGCTGAACGAGTCACCGTGGCCATACTCAAGGCTCGCAATTTACGCCTACCGGAATCGGAAGAGCCAGATACCAAGAAGCTAGGTACGAAAACACCTTTTTCAAATTTGGATCCTTCCAAGTTCCAGGTTGTATCATTAACATTCATGGGTGTAACAATAGTAAGACAATTCCAGCGTCATAGACACTATAAATCAGACATGAAAAGTTTGTTGTACTTTTAAGAGTTCATTGAATAAATCTTAAAATATATTTTTCAAATCCTATATATCTATAATCTATAGTAATGGTCAAGGAGATATACAGCCTAGGAGTTTCAGATCATTTCTGTGATTGATTAATTAGTTATCGTGGTTGATTGGCTCTGTCACGGAAATAAACATTTCTTCCCTAACGCTTGGAATTGCATGCCAAGTTGGAATTTCTGCATTGCACGTGTTAAAAAAACTATTAGAATAGTTTACAGAAGACAGTTTGAAATGTCAGATTGTTTATATACCTCCTAAGTTTGAAATTACCAAACGACCATTTCCCCCACATGCAGTAATGGACACCTTTGTCAAGGTGACGGTGGTGAAAGCGGACAAGGTGGTGAAAAACAAGCAGACCTCCGTGGTGAGACGCAACGACAATCCCACTTTCAACGAGGCCTTCACCATCGACATGAGCTGTGAGAACGAACAGGTATGACTCATCAAGGCAGTTTGTACCATTTGGAATTCCAACAAAATCTCTCTCCGCAATCCAACTCTGATTAAGTAATTGCTTTAAGGAAAACAGCTTACCAGCGAAAAAAAAACACCATGCAAAGCACACCACTCGTGACTGTTCCAAACTAACAGCATCATTTCTGCAGAGGCATGAACATGAGCCCAGATCATTTACATGCTGCAAAATGTCTCCCCCTTCTCAGAAATGGACCGATCCATTAAGCCCCGCCCGATGGTGTTTTTGACCAATCACAGTCGCGACTAATGTCCGACGCGCGTGCAAAAAAGTCCGTGCTTGAAGTGACTAGTGTGGTGTGGCCACTATGATTTATTATATGTCTATGGAGAGGTCTATTTCATGGGCGGGACTAAATGTATGGGTGTATTTCATGGGCGGGACTTAATATTTAATCGGTGTATTTCAAGACAGTTTTCAACTTGAAGTTTCCACCAGCTTTCTGACCGTCTTTCATTACCATTTTACAGGTGTGTATCGTGTTCGCCGTGTGTTTGCGAGTGAATCCCTTCGCAGGCCACAAGACTCTTGGGCGATGCCTGGTCGGGCCGAACGAGAAGGCGACGGGTGACGGGGCGGCGCACTGGAGGGACATGATGGCGACTCCACGGACCGCCGTGGCGGCATGGCACCCGCTGAAATAAAATGCACCGATCCAGTAAGCCCCGCTCAAATTAGCACGTGCTCCTCTCCAATGCCACGCTGCATTTTCCTGCCGCGCGCTTCATACGCGCACGCGCCGCACGCATGTCGGACTTTTGTGCACGCACGTCGGACATAAATCACGGCTGTGATTGGTCAGAACACCATGGGGCGGTGCTTACTGGATCGGTCCATTGCCTTGGCAGACCACATCATGAATCAACGTTACTTTGTATGTCTTCCTTTCTTAAAGGAGCGAAGGAACATAAGTTAAAGGAACTTTAGTACCTACTGAGTTTAAGGAGAAAATCGTCGCTCAAAGTGAAGATAGGACTGGTACCAAATACCTTGTGAAATTATTCCGCCTGAAATGGTATCATTTGGAAGAAAACAATCATTGAAGGTAGTTAAAGAACATATGCCTGCGGGCACAATTTGTTTTACGTGCGTTTAGTAACGGAATCAAGTTACGAGATCCCAAAATTATGCCCGTGTTTTATGTTAAATTTCATAAAATGTCTTAAAGCAAAACGACCTCACCCTGTACCTTTAAATAATCAAGAGTTGTGTGGTCTTTGCTCTTGATGGTCCTTGTAATGTTGCAATTAAAGACAAAGGACTGATCCAAATGAAGAACTGATATTTCTGAGAAAATTGAATAAAAATGCTCCAATTTGCAATGGTGTGGATGGATCGTTTTGCAGAATGGGCTTCAGTAGGACTGCCTTTTAGGGGTGGTCATCTTTGGAAGAAACCACCCAAAATTCATCGGTCAACTCCACAAGAAATTGAACAGAAAGTAAAGGAAAGCTTTCACATTCATTGACAAGTGCTGGATTGCAGCAAACAAAGTATAACTTTGTCAAGTTGTTAGCAAGGGGACAAGGCGACATTTTGCCTTTTGTGCTGGAGAAAAAAAAATTGAAGAGGAAAAAAAAATCGGCGGTCTTTTGAAAATTTGTAAGGAATCTGTGCACCAACATGGATAGTCAATACCGGAACTTATTAACCAATTTCAGTAGTTTTTTATGTTTATACCTTGTAAGATACTTTGATTTCTGACAGACAGGAACATATACAAGCATGTACATAATTATTTAGGTTTTCACATATCAATAACAGTATATTGCACAACGGCAATAACAATGTTAGGAACATTTATTATTAAATATATCAAAACATTCATTATCACAATTATGATTAACTCATGGTTCTGAAACTTTATGGAAATGTATTATTTATTTTCCCAATGATCTAAAAAACAAATCAATAAAAAGCTGGTTCAGTGGCGTAGAATGTATGGGACATCAGTCCACATACTACCAACCTCGTCCCCAAGTTGCCGAGCAGTACGCGCCCACCACTACCTGCTCTCTCACCCTGGTATCGGCTCATTTGCACGTGCAAGATTTTTGAACACGTATGCAAATGAGGAATAGTCTGGTGCCTGCATGTGCGTTACATTAGCGTTTTCTATCCAGGGCTTACTATTGGAAATAAAGTAAGCACTGGGGACGAGGTTGACACACTACATACTTGGGGGCGGGCTGACGTCATCGGATGAAAAATATCTATTAAGTTGCACACTAGTTTTCATCGGTTGCTATGTGTTACCATTCAGCACTCCAGACTCAAGAACCATTGAGTGTCAAGAACATAGGTCTGGGAGCTAGTTAAACCAATGTAAAACATTTTCTGCATGTCCGCGCCCACCTATAGACTTTCTTATGAAATTAATTTTTTAGATAGATCCGCCACTGACTAAGTACCAAACACATGGAATTATTCACTTACATACACTTTGTACCAAGTTTTAAATTATTTAATAAACTGTTATTATAGTTTATAGTGAAAGGGTATGCCTACAATGGTAAATAACTGAAAACAACATCTATGGCATTGCCTACTAAAAATATATACAACAAGAACTCATAATACCTTGCATAGGTAAAGTACTGATAGGTAAGTTTCCAACATATAAAAAACACAAGCAAGAAATCACTTATTTAAAATGGAAATCAATTATTCCTGAAGAATAATTCCATAAATATAGAAAAACATGATCATAGCGATCTATGACGTTTCCTGTTAAAGATGTACTGTGCGTGCTCTTTTATTAATTTGATTTTGTTTCTCCCGACGAAATTTCAAAATAGTCTTCAAAAAATATTTTCCAAATTCATGAGTTTGGAAATCTAAAACTTTAAGGAATTTTAAGTTTCTGAAAACATTGCAGGAAATGTATTGCATGACAGATGATTAATTGTAAGAAACAGCAATTTATTGCATTAGAATCTCCATATTTTTAATTCCATCTTATATTCCAGGGAAAGTATAGTAGGACAATTAACTTCATATATTTATTGTACTGCAGTAATAACGCTATGTGGGGCCCATCTCGTATCCGGGACGACATCCGGACAAGTTGCGGACATTGTATCGGGTATAAGTTGCAGGATTTTGAACAACTTCCCTGCAATCTTCCCGCAAGGAGTTATCAGTATTGGTGAGTCAAGCAGTTGCTAATGAAAACTTCACCGGAACGTGTCCGGGACAAATACAGAGCAGCTTCCTGACAAAATAAATGAGTCTACCCCCAACTTGTCCGGAACCCAGAATGCAGTATCCAGACGTCACTTCTTTGGTTGTGTACAAAGTCTATGTAGAGTCGGGTTTTTTAACAAAATTGGAAATGTTTCTCAGTCCCAGATTCATGTCTTTTCAACACTTTCGCAATGACTGATCAACATTGAGATAGTATATGATGAAAAAAATGGTGTCAGGATGCAACATTCTTTCCATGAAAACCATAAAAGAAAACTTCTTTACAATTAAAAATATGTCCAATTTGTAACTACATCTGTACTTTGTGCAAAAATGCTGAAATACTGTACCATAAAGCAACTTTTGGATGGCGTCTTTATTATAAGCAGCTGTACTACGTTGTATTGCATTGTATTCATCGCAGTGCTCGAGCAGTTTCAGGCAGTACAGGGAGTAATAGTCAGGGCAGTTAAATAATCATAAATATAACATGCTTTGAGGGTTGATTGATATCGGTAGTCGATACCATCTTCCCGAGGGGAGCTAATATCAACTATCCACCCTGAAACCATGTTATATTTGTTATACATCATCCACATTCGCAACTTTCGTCAAGTGACATATCGGTTATCTCAGCAAAATGTTGACGAGTGTGTGCCGCCATCTTTTCATGTAGCTAGGACCATGTTCACACGTGAGAACCATCCCATGCGATAGTGCCACGATTTCTTATTAACCAGTTCACGCCAGGAATATTTTGACAAGAACGTAACGAGGCGCACGTTTACTTATCACTCGACCTCAAGCCAGGCGGGTTGAAGCAATCACCCGGGCAGCACACTCATATTTCTGGCCTCGCTCGCTGTGAGCTGGTCGCTGACAGATATTTCCAGCCTCGCTCCCTGCGTGTTTATCTGTCATCCGTTCCGAATACCGCAAAACTTTTGCATGTATACACGGCCTCCGGCGCGAGCTGGTTAAAGCACATGCGTAGTAGACTATTGCATGGGGATTGGGTAACCCATGCAATGGTCGACTGCGCATGTGTATTCACCCTGGGTATGAATCCTACGGTGTGCATGATTGGTGTAAGTAGCAAAGCTAGCATCTGTCACATCATGGTGAACGGACCAGGACGATTTCGGCACTTGCTTATGAATACATGTATTAAGCAATGAGGTATAGAAATATGCACTGAAATTACATGCTTAGCAAGAATAGGTTAAAACAAATTAGGATTTTGCCCTTCACCGACGTATAAACACTGTATACTCAGTGTGTTACCTCCCGAGTGAAAGTTGGAAAAAATCACTCGGGTGGGACTCGAACCCACGACCTCCTGCTTTCTAGTGCAGATGTCTTACCACTTGACCACCGAGCTAACGGGATCGGTAGGCTGGTTCGAATCTGATGTACATAGCAGCAGGTACCGCATTAACTATTCATAAGATGAATTTTTGCGTTGGGGTGATGTAAATAAAATTAGGTTTTGCCTTTCACCGACGTATAAACACTGTATACCCAGTGTGTTACCTCCTGAGTGAAAGTTGCAAAAATTCACTCGGATGGGACTCAAACCCACGACCTCCTGCTTTCTAGAGCAGATGTCTTACCACTCGACCACCGAGCTAACGGGATCAGTTGGCTGGTTCGAATCTGATGTACATAGCAGCGGGTACCGCAATTAAACTATTCATAAGATGGAATTGTTGCGTCAGGGTGATGTAAAATAGGAATAGGTTACCAACAGAAACACCATGTGATTTATATCACTGGTTCCCAGCTCATTTCTGCTTACCACAAAAATTTGTTAAGCGATACTTTTAAGCTGAACAGCATAAACTGGGCTAAGCATTCACACAGACTACAACACAAGAACTCCACAGTTGGCAGCACATATTTCTACGTTAGGACATTTTTAAATACACTTGGTACATCCCTAAATTTACTTTTGCTTTCACACACTGTATACTACATGTACTAGTCTATAGTAAGAGGTATATATTACACAAACAGTAATGTACAATTAAAAACTTTGTCCAATCATTTACTGAACCTTTGTAGCCCAAGGCATACATGGGGGGGGGGCCCACACTCGTAATGAGTGATGGTAATTGGGGGACTAAAGATGCTGTGGGGGCAGCAGACAGTCCCCACAACAAAGTCACTGCTAACGCACAGACATATAAACGCATAGACCGCCAGGTCCTATTTGAAACTACATGCGCATTCTGTGATTTCGCGGCACCCGACTAAAATCCAAACTATGGGCAAATTCACCTCTTGGTATAGGGATTTTACACACACCCAAACTGTTCCATTAAAAAAATTCTAAGAAGTTATTTTTCGATGGTAAAAAAAATCCCTTGTGCACTTAATTTGATTTAGGTAGATTAAAAAACAATAACGTGCACAACTTTTTTTCAATCAGATTGTGAGTAAAACAGCCTTTTGTAACTCAAAAATTTATGTTCTGTATGTAAATGTATGTACTGTACTACACGCGTATCTGCATGGAACGCACGTCGCGCAGTTACGCGCGCTGTCAACAGGCGTTTTGCCCATACTTTTTCAAATCACGGTTTTACGCGCACGACTGGCGGTCTATGCGTTTATATGTCTGTGCTGCTAACGCACAGCGTCATGGCAGATAAGTTGGGCGCTATCAGTGGATCTGTGCTATCGGTCGCTGGCGCTGCGTTGTTGGTCAGTCGCACTGTCGTTGATCGATCGCATTTTGTTTCTGACTCACAGTTCTCGAGGTTTATTTTGAACAAGCTCGATATGATCTCGAAAGCTGCGGACTCCCAACGAATTTGCGTTGCACTTTGCGTGGAATGTGTACGGCTGCTGTCTATAAATGAGATCGCGACAGCTGGTACGCAGCAGGCATGCGGCTATTGTTCCCGGATTAATGCCTTTCATTGAGCTGCGGCTGCGCAGAACGTTTGTTACGAACTAACGTACGGACTAACGGAGAGACATGACAATTTTTTAAGCTGCTGTCAGCAACTAAAAAGTGAAGTAAAGAATACAACACAAATTCACTGTTTGCCGTTGTATCTGTTGCTCACGTGGCACTATCCATTGCTCGCGCCGCCGTCCGTTGATTGTGCCGTCGTCAAGCGATCACCTTTTCTGTCAAATTCATAAATCTGGAGGACTGTTTTAAAAAAGGGAAGTCAGAGACTTCCAACAGGTTCGACCAATCACGCAAACGCATTTTTGCGCGACGAGTGAAAGCACAAATCCACCGATCGTACCCATCAGAGAGGGCCAAGTTCGCGCAAGGACTATAGTTGACCAATGGTTAACTAACGTTTGCCCGAACTCTGTCTAGTCGACGATGATTGACTACGCTAGTCGACTATTTGGAACCAGGCTTCTGGGGTTGGTTGCTTCGCTGGTAACCAATAGCCGCGCGCGTGCATAACGCTAGCAGAGAGCCAGGATCCAGAAGTTTTGCGATGACATTTTGACCAGCGTTTGACTAGAGACGTTCGCACGTTGCTATTAGTGCGCAGGCGTAAGGTACGTCACAAATCAACCACTAGTCGACTAATGGTCCTTGCCCGAACTTGGCCTACATTATCACATTCATGGGGGGGGGGGGGGTGTGAAATAAGTTGTGTTGGGCCTAGCAAGCCACAGACTACTCTAATTGGGTTCGAACCCCGTACCATTATTTTGGCGTGAACACCAGTTGCTTCGTCAGCATGGACATGAAGCAGGGGATCTGTTTCTTGCCGATCATGCGCGGGTCCAGGCATCGTTCCACCGACCGTTGGGCAACCAGTCGGTTGACCACTGTCAGGATGGTCGTGAACTCCATGGTGGCTCCGTACTGCTCCATGACTTGGCTCAGGGCCTGGATGAACCAGGACCCCAGGGACGTGTCTCGATGCGAGTAAAAACCTGCAACGATGAAGAAAAATGTCACTGATTTCAGGTGAGAAAACGAACAAGACTAGACCTGGACCAGTCAAAAGGCCGGTTCGCACTCGGCGCAAAAGCGAATTGGCAAAACACACTTCAACACTGGCAAATTCTCAGTGAATGTTTTTTTGAGGTCAAATATGAACTGGCTTCAAGTCATATTCTATACAATTGACTCGGAATGGCTATTTACTTGAAGTATTTTTCATGTATCTGGTCAACGAAATAAGCTGGATGTAAATAAGGGGAATAAATGTGAGCTTGGCTGGTTTTAAACACTATGTTTAAGACCGGTTGGAGTCTGGATGCTGATAATTACCCGAGCCGAAAAACTGACTCATTGGTAGTATTGCGCATGCCTAAGTATAGATTGTGAACATTTAACCAATAAAAGGGTAAAAGCCTAAAAGGGGCCGGATTTCATAGGAGTCCAAATGTGATGTGACATTGGAAAAGTGTTTAAAGGGAATGTACATCATTGGCTTTTGCTGTAATTTTCAGAAATGAACTATTTGAGGGGTTAGTATAAAAGATAAAATATTGTTACACTGACATGTTTGAAGTTTTGTGTTCGAAAATGCTGGAAATACCAAGAAAAACAAAAATGTTCAAGTAGTCTGGTTCCCTGACTCCACTAAAGATAAAATGGATCCATTTATAGATGATGGAAAATTGTAAGGTAAGGAAATTAATCTAGCTGACCTGCACCCGTTCATGAACATGTAACCAATAAGCACACAAAATTTGGACTGAAGAAATGGTAAATTTTGAGCAGTAGTTGCTAAATAGTTAGGTTTTTCCAACGGTGGTCGGCCGACCACTGTTGGAAATGTGTACAAAAATACCATTTTCTTTAAAATGACTTCACACCAGGTGCCATAATTTTACAGGATGCTTTAGATTGTCTTTTACCAACATCCTAGCAAGGTATTTCGTAAAAACTTGGTAGTTTTATTTTTCGATGTTTGCAAATGTTGTATATTCCCTTTAACACCAGCCAGCCGGTGTTTTATCAAACGTTTAAAGCCACCCGTGTGACAGGCTCTTGACCAATAGGAATTGGTAAACTGTCTTGGGTATTTATGAATAGCACATTAATTGGCGTTACAGTGTAATCCTATACAATAGCACTGCCCAGCTCTCTTCAGCCTACAACCAGGCTAAGTCACAAGTGAAAGTCAGTCAGTTGGGCACAAAGAGGACACTAGGCTGGCCCTCTGGGACCAGCACGAACAACTTTACTCATAAACACCTTACAATTTTGACTTAAATAGGTAACTCAATCAAAAATAATGCAAGTTTAAGTTCGCAAACTTGTCAAAGTTGTGCGATTGCTTGTTTGCACCTACCTTGTGTAACAGAGTAACATATGAGCATGTCTGCACCGGCCGGCACCGTTAGGGTGGGTCCGCCATCCACAACCGTGTAGCCATAAGAATCAGGCTCATCCTTATCAAGAGCGTCCGTTTCCAGACCTATTTCATGCTTATCCCCTCTGCAGGCCTACAGAAGAATTAGAAAAATAAAAGCAGAATGAAAAAAAAATAATTTTCAGTACAAAACCGCAATAAATCAAGCAGTAATTACCCCTAACCCTCCTCAATTTTCCAAAAACCTCCTGGTGGTTTTCAGGATTGAGGATTGAATGGTGTTTGAGAAACGTGAGGATTTTGGAGGATTGAGGATTGAATAGTGTTGGAGAAACATGAGGATTTTGGAGGATTGAGGATGAATGGTGTTGGAGAAACATGAGGATTTTGGAGGATTGAGGATGAATGGTGTTGGAGAAACATGAGGATTTTGGAGGATTGAGGATGAATGGTGTTGGAGAAACATGAGGATTTTGGAGGATTGAGGATGAAAGGTGTTGGAGAAACATGAGGATTTTGGAGGATTGAGGATGAATGGTGTTGGAGAAACATGACGATTTTGGAAGACTGAGGATGAATGGTGTTGGAGAAACATGAGGATTTTGGAGGATTGAGGATGAATGGTGTTGGAGAAACATGAGGATTTTGGAGGATTGAGGATGAATGGTGTTGGAGAAACATGAGGATTTTGGAGGATTGAGGATGAAAGGTGTTGGAGAAACATGAGGATTTTGGAGGATTGAGGATGAATGGTGCTTGAGAAACATGAGGATTTTGGAGGATTGAGGATGAATGGTGTTGGAGAAACATGAGGATTTTGGAGGATTGAGGATGAAAGGTGTTGGAGAAACATGAGGATTTTGGAGGATTGAGGATGAAAGGTGTTGGAGAAACATGAGGATTTTGGAGGATTGAGGATGAAAGGTGTTGGAGAAACATGAGGATTTTGGAGGATTGAGGATGAATGGTGCTTGAGAAACATGAGGATTTTGGAGGATTGAGGATGAATGGTGTTGGAGAAACATGAGGATTTTGGAGGATTGAGGATGAATGGTGTTGGAGAAACATGAGGATTTTGGAGGATTGAGGATGAATGGTGTTGAAGCACATGAGGATTTTGGAGGATTGAGGATGAATGGTGTTGGAGAAACATGAGGATTTTGGAGGATTGAGGATGAATGGTGTTTGAAGAAGAGGAGGAGTTTGGAGGATTGAGGATGCTTGCATTTTTACAATTTTGAAGGATTGAGGCGCTGGGTATCCTTCATTTGAACATGAGCGCAAAATTTGGAGGATTTTGGAGGATTGAGGATGGTTCCTAGCGAAAGGGCCTTGGGGGTTAGGGATAATGAAAAAGTGTATATCCAACCAATCGTATGATTTATAACACTTCATACATATTCATGAGCTAAACACTATTACTTCATTGGTCAATGTTTCAATGTAAGATTTCTGTTGGAAAGTTCCTGTACCTGTATGAGAAAGATCTTCGGTTTGCCGATGAGCGATTTGCAGTTTTCACCCCTGAAGTAATCAAACAGCTCTTGTAACGGTAGCGTGCCGTCGTAACCATAGATTATACCGTCGTCTCCGTGTGTGAGGAACGAACAGAGAAAACAGTCGGCCTCTGAGTGGTCCATCTCAAAGGCCGCTGAAAAGAAACAAAGGTTGATTGGTGTAATTATTTCTTGAATATATACCATTTCATAAGATAAAATTAAATACGTTGGAAACATCGATACATGTAGCTATTTATTTGTGCTGTGTATGTTTAACTTAAAGGAATATCGCGTGAACTTAAGTTTCTTGTTATAATTTCGGTTCTGTTTAACCAGGATCTAAAGAGGATCTATTAGTTTACTACTAAGAAAGTATCTGTCGTAAAGTTAGAACTTCACATAATTCTCAGTAAAATCTTCTAGGTCTTTGAAGATTACCACAGACACAGACAGATCGTGCGACTTCATATGGAATTTTCTCACCTCGTTCAAACTGCCTCTTAATCTCCGCTATCCGTAGATCCTGAAAGACGACTACCTCAAACCCTAGCCTGCCAAGGTACTTGCGCAGGTTTAGTGCGTCCAGCTCCGTTCCGATCCGCCTGTTCATGCCGACAGACAGGGAGAAGTTCTCGTGATTGAAGACCATGGCGAGTCCTCGTTTCTTATGATCCATACGGTATTGTAGCTGAATCTCATCCGAGAGTGATTCGACAAACCTTGGATATATGAAAAGATGAATAATTCCACTTAATTTTTTGATGTACTTGCGACTGGACTTGTGATGTACTTGTAACTGGACTTGCGATGTACTTGATGTACTTGTGATTAGACTTGTGATGCACATGTGACTGGACTTGTGATGTACTGTGACTGGACTTGTGATGTACTTGTGACTGGACTTATGATGTACTTGTAACTGGACTTGTGATGTACTTGTGACTGGACATAGATGTACTATGATGCGACTGGACTTGTGATGTACTTGTAACTGGACTTGTGATGTACTGTGACTGGACTTGTGATGTACTTGCAACTGGATTTGTGATATACTTGTGACTGGACTTGATGTACTTGTGATTAGACTTGTGATGCACATGTGACTGGACTTGTGATGTACTTGTGACTGGACTTATGATGTACTTGTGACTGGACTTGTGATGTACTGTGACTGGACTTGTGATGTACTTGTGACTGGACTTATGATGTACTTGTGACTGGACTTGTGATGTACTTGTGACTGGACTTGTGATGTACTTGTGACTGTACTTGTGACTAGACTTGTGACTAGACTTGTGATGTTGTTGCGACTGGACTTGTGATGTACTTGTGATGTTCTTGCGACTGGACTTGTGATATACTTGTGACTGGACTTGTGATGTACTTGTGACTGGACTTGTGATGTACTTGCGACTGGACTTGTGATGAACTTGCGACTGGACTTGTGACGTACTTGTGACTGGACTTGTGATGTTCTTGTGACTGGACTTTTGATGTACTTGTGACTGGTCTTGTGACTGGACTTGTGATGTACTTGTGACTGGACTAATGATGTACTTGCGACTGGACTTGTGATTGGACTCGTGATGTACTTGTGACTGGACTTGTGATGTACTTGTGATGTATTTGTGACTGGACTTGTGATGTACTTGTGAACCACACTGATGTTGCCAAACTTTTAACCGTAAAGAATTCCTTAGTTGCACCGAAACTTACCCTGGAAAACGAAAAACGGACGAGCCCTCATTTCTCGTCTGGTGCCCCACCCCTCGCAATGCAGGCCTGCCTAAAGGTAAACTAATAGAATCCGCTTTTGTACTAGTCCTTGCATCTGTGGCTGTGTCATTTCCAGAGGGGTTCTCCTGCGACTCTTTGACTGTGTCCGTTTCAGAGTGTGCATCTGATCCTAAATGGGTCGTTTCTTTGTTTTTGTTTGCAGACATGATTCAAACTCGCAGGACTAGTTGACAGCAGGCATCTAAACCATTTAACAAAAAGCAGAAGTTTAATCTGTAAAACAAAAGAGAAGAAAACCTGTTACTGTTAAACGTATTATTTACAGCATGACAATGGCAGTCACATGATAAATTCGGGCAACTTTTATGGGGATTATTATTATAAATGGACTTTCAAATGAAAAGTCTGATTTTTGACAATTTGCATCAGACTATCAGGGGCGTGTTTATTTCAAAATACATTTCACTTCTACAAATAGTAAACAGAATAGAGGGTGGGGATTTGATTTTTAATTAAGGGACATTTGATTTCCTCATTTGAAAGATTCCCATAACTGGCCATCACTTGTCACCCTGTGCACATAAAAACCCTATGGGACTGGTCTGAAAATGGTTTTCTTAGTAAAACTTTCGATATTTTCCCTGCTAAATTTTACTTGTTAGGACATAATTATAACTTTCTGATGGCTGACAGGTCACTGAAGGGAAAAATTAGTGATGGCCAGATATGGGAATCTTTCCTATTTGAGATTTTATCCCTCCATAAAACCGCACACAAATCCAGGCATCCTCGTCCTGTCGTGCTGTGAGTGACTGTGTGACGGTCTTCATTTTCAGAGCTAGAGGAGGGAGCAAAACCGCAATTAACTGATTAAAGGTAGGCCTACAGTCCATCATTTGTAATCTGTGCATTTTGTTCGTTTGAAGCAACAAAAGTGTTTAAAATCTAATGAAGGATACTGAACAACTAACCTGAAGAAGTTTCAGCTTAGCTTCAGCTGTATATTCCGAGAAAAACAGCATTCTAGGATCTCAATTTCAAATCAAAAGTTGCTGAATCATATTTTGAATTGTTTTGAATTGTTTTGAATTGCAGCTATACGTGATGTCACGCACTGATCTGACGAACTACAGCAACCGCGCGCGTGTGCGTTGTGCCAATGCTTGCGCGTGCTTCGCCGAATAGCAAAACAAACTACTAATTTAAATTTCCTACGGTGCGTCTTAAGACCATGAAGACTAGACGCACCGTAGGAAAGGCCTTCTTTCGTTGATTACTTCAAAACGACGGCTTGCCAGAAAGAATAAATTCACGGGGAGTTTATTCCACTTACTATCTTTCAACCAAGTATGTTTTTCAACAATAATTACGCCAGTTACTTTTCGGATGGCTGCAAATGATGGACTATAGCTTTAATAATAATAGCTAGGCTATCTACATTCATTGACATTCTAAATATATTCACCAATCACCACACGTTACTGTGAAGATCCAGCAGGTTAGTTCTAATGACAACTAGTAGTACTACTAGATCTTAAATTAAACGGTCCATAAGGAAGTTGTAATCCATGTGTAAACATGTGTAAATGACAAATATTTCGAAGATTGCTCACCTCTCTTTGCAATCACAAGTGCATGTACATTACAACCGGAGAAAGGTACTTATGATAATGTATACTACATCGCTGTGCGAATTGTGTGAGACGATATGAATTATGCAATACGTCCTGAATAATTTTTTTGTTGCATGCATGGCGCATGTATTGCATTATTCATTTTTTCTTTGACGTAATAGAATTTGCTGCGACGACATTAGCCTACTTCTACTTCTACAGTTGCGATACTGCCGCCACTGTTGAGTCAGCATCATATCAGCACGGAACAGTCGACATTAAAATTAGGTGGGCCATTTTGACAAACCATCAAGTTCAGTGTAATTAATCGAACTTTATTCGTCAATGCAGAATAATTTTTTTTTACAAATATATAGATGTGGTTTTCAAGTTCGGATCTCGTATTTTGGACAAAAAAAAAAATCCAATTTTGTAAAATGTTACATGTTCATATACCCGTTTAAAAGTCGTCTCGTCTAATTACGGCAGCGATCGAGATAAGAAATGGCGGCGCCCATGGCTCGGATATGCGCTTGATTTCGTTTGCTGCATCAGCAAAAACACTTTTACAAAAGACCAGTTTACAAAAGTCATCTGTATCTTGTCTCTTTTTTGAAAAGATAATTTCCAGAACAATGAGTGACCAGCCACGTTGGAAGATCTACGTCACACGAAGGCTATTGCCAGAGGCCCTTGATCTGCTGAAAGAAAAGTAGGCCTAGGCTAAGTTGTACTTACGTAGCGCATGGAGGAATATGCGTAGGCCCTAGTGTGTCATTGTGTACAGTACAGGACGGGGGGCGGGGCCCGGGTTGGGATCATTTTGTTTGGCAGTCGGTGCATCTGGGAAGGGAGATGGAGTGTATGGGGGGGGGGGGGGCGACGACGAAATGCAAGAGATTTGTCCTTTTGGGGGGGGGGGGGGGGGGTTGAGGTGGTGTTTAGCCCAGAATCATGGACGACGTACTCTTCATCAATATGTTCATTGCAATACGACTGACACATGTGACACAGGTAGTGATGTTACTGTTAGTTCTGTTAAAAACAAATTGACTTTTTGGCAATTTCAGTAACGGAATGACATTATAGACCGCTTGCAGACGCGACCGATAATTGACGCGCGAAGGTGCACGACGCCATGTTATGGGATGTGCATAGATAGATATACGCTTGTCCCACAACACGCTTGTCCCACAACATGGCGTCGCGCCCCTTCGCGCGTCGATTATCGAACGCATCTGCAAGCGGTCTATTCACTAGCCTACTCTTTGTTTTTCAAAATCAAAAGCATGTGTACTCTACTACGGCGGTACTAAATACCTTTTTCAAAAGATTAAACAATGTCGCTATTCTACTCAACCGACTACCTTTCATTTCTGCTTCAATTTTTTTGAAAATCTTCTGTTCATTTATAAATAAGGCGAAGTAAAAAAAAAAATGTTAAGCGTCCCCGCCCGCTTCCTTTTTAGAGGCCGCCTCCTTTTTTTTTGTTTTTTTGGTTTTTTTTGTTTTTTAAAGACAAAAATTGATAAATTTTAACGATCTCTGACGAAAGAAATTGTATTTTTAGACTTTTATACCGTGTATAAAGCTGTGGAAATAGTCAATGAGTCCAAGTGGCGGCCATTTTGAAAAAAGCTGGTAACCATCTTGAAAAATAGCCCGGCCACGTTGTCTTGAAAAATGTGTCGGGCGGCCATTTTGAAAAGAAAAAAAAAAAAAAAAGGGCCTCCTCCTTCCTTTTTGTCAAAGAGGCAGGACGCTAAACATGTTTTTTTTTTATTTTGCCTAACGAGTCAGTAAGAGAGTAAGTAATATGGGCCTGACTTTTTTACATAACATTTTTTTTTTTCAATTTGGTTCCCCATTCCCGTACTACCCGTTAATGCACATCCCTAGCCTTGAATACAGACTTAAGTTCAGTAGATATAGATTGGCTTAAGTTTTGATGCATCTCAACTTTTTTTTCTCGTAACATACAGATGTGATATTGAGATATGGGATCATGATAACGTGGTGCCACGAGATGAACTGCTCAAGAGGATCGCCGGCAAGGAGGGAATGCTCTGCCAACTCACGGAAAAAATCAACAAGGAACTTCTTGATGCTGCAGGTCAGAAAACGTTCAAGCCGTTGAAGGGGCACTAGGTCCTGAAATCCCCCAAAATTTCATGTTTTGGATCGTTTACTTATCATTTTTCAAACATCTGGTTCAAAGGAAACCAACCTAATGTCTTACCGTTCCCGAGAACAGACGAAAAAACCTCGGTTGTTTACATCGGACACGACGGAGTACAGATACGCTTTTCCTGTCGTTTTCACTTTCAATCAATGTACGTGTACAATATGTATACACAGCACCGTGCTCGCGAACAGCGCGCGGTGACCAATCACCAACGCACAAAATATGGTTTCTTTAATACACGTCTGCAAAAGGTGAATCACTTTACAGATGAAATCACAACTAGCATCCAAACAGCTCGAATTTTTGGGGGTCGCAAAAGTGGACCCTGAAATTCGTTCAGCACGCATAATACAGGAATAACACAAAAACGCCCAGTTTTAAAAGGATAGTTGTGTGGATGTTTATATCCTACTTTTAAATGTTCTTTCAGATTAACATCATCTCGTTCAAAGCGCGTTTTGTAGCCCAATTGGGCTGTTCTAGGACCCAGTGTCCCTTTAAACCTTTAATCATTCTTAGACTTCAAATAAACCACAGGGCAACTGACTCCAGGTGCATTATAGATTTAAAGGTGAATAGACTGGAGCGCGGTTTGAACCTGTGACCTCCGGATTGCCGTTCCGGTGCTCTACCAACTGAGCTATCCGGCCCTATGCTTGCGGTTTCCATTTTGTCAGTGTCTTTGTTCAAGGAGCCAAAAAGAATTAGAGGGATCCTTATGTGCACTTTCACCCATAGATTGCTCGTTCAGTATTAGCTGATGTTGTGGGGCCCTAAACTTCACAATCGCCAAATTGTGAGGGATATAATTATTCAGTCTTTTACATATACATGTAAGTTTCTAATTTTCTTCATCTGATTTCAGGACCCAGTCTGAGGGTGGTGAGTTCTATGTCCGTTGGATATGATCACGTAGAACTACAACAGCTGAAAGAAAGGTAAATAAAACCATAAGCATGGTGCAGACACGTATTTGAGCACTCAAAACCTGGAGTCCGAGTCCTCAGTGTTGAGTCCAAGTTTGAGTCTCGAGTTATTCAGGTCGAGTCCGAATTACAGGCATGAGTGTTGAGTAGTTTGTGGTGGTTCCGGCGGTTCTCCGGTTCTAACCGGTCCCAATATGATAACCGGAACCCAGTGTTGTAGTCGTGTACTTGTTTCCGAGTACCGAGTACTGCTGAGTACTTAGGTTGCCGAGTACGAGTATTTGTACTTCCAAGTACAAGAACGGGTCTCCGAGTACGAGTATTTGTACTTCCGAGTACAAGAACGGGTCTCCGAGTACGAGTACTTGTATTCCGAGTATGAGTACGAGTACGAGTACTTCTATTTCCGAATACGGCCATATGGCAAATGGGTCATTGTGTGTTATTGCCCCAGGCCCAGTCAGACCGATATACAGACCCACTCACGGCTAGCTGTTAAATGTGTTTGTCCGGACGTGCACAGAGGAAAATCAGGAAAGTTCGATTTCTACGCAAGCCAACCAACCATTTGAAAACTGAAACTATTGAGAAAATAAGGCTGTAGTAAGTCAACCTATACCATATTTCGAGTACTGCTATTAGAGTACGAGTACTTTGATGATCCAGTACAATTTCGACATGTCGAGTACGAGTACTTTGCTGCCTGAGTACGAGTACCGTCATTTTGAGTATGAGTGCTTTGACATTCGAGTACGAGTACAAGTACTCTAAAAAAAGTACTCGAGTAGTACTCAAGTACGAGTACCGAGTACGAGTACTACAACGCTGCTGGAACCGCAAGTCCAATCTTCCCAAGAACCGGGTACCCGATATGCTTGGTTCCGGCTCAAACAGCATCGGTTCCAGAGTAAATTACCCATTCTCTTTGCATAAAACCCAGAGCCGGCTCCATAACTAGGAGTTCAATTTTGTAAGGGCCTGGGACTTAAACCACACAGACTCACACACGTCACGGAGAGTCTGAGAAATTTTGGAACCGCCCAACAGTGTTGCGTCCGAGTCACGAGTCACTAAAAAAAAATTAAGAAAAAAAAAAAAAATCATAAAAAACTATGCTGTGGATGGGTAGAATGAAAAAAACAAAACCACAGACACACGGCACAATTTTCTATAAATTTATTTCAGTGAAATACCTGGTTCTTTTTGCAAAAAAATAATATTCATTTATATTTTCTAAAGAGTGCATATTTCGTCAGCGACACCACAAAGTAACACTCAAGTGGACTTGAGTTCGAAGTAACACGAAGTAACACTCTATGTACACTGTACACTGAATTGGTAATTTTTGTTTTCACTAAGTAACACTCATCTTTATTTCACCAGTTTAAAAGCTTTTTATTAAATTTTTCTGCAATCCAACAAAAATACGGATTAATCACATTCCTGTCAAACGTTTTAAAAGGTTTTTATCCAAATAGTTTTTCTGTTAAAGTGTTGTAACTTTGTGAAAACGAAAATCATTCGAGCCAGTTTCCGATGTGCGCGTGCACACTTGGGTGTTACTTTGTGAAACCAAAACTTAAAGGGAAAATACAACATTTGCAAACATCAAAAAATAAAACTACCAAATCATTTTGAAATACCTTGCTGGACTGTTGTGTTAGTGAATGACAGTGTAAAGCATCCTGTAAAATCATGGCACCTGGTATACTGTCATTTTCAAGAAAAGTGGTATTTTTGTATCAATTTCCAACGCTGATCGGCCGATCAGCGTTGGAAAAAACTGGCTTTTTTTCAAATACTGGCCCCAGTTGACCATCGCACTTGATTGCAATCGCTTACACACCTATGAACAGGTACAAGCCAGCTAGACTGGTTCCCTGGCCTTACAATTCCCCAATATATGTAAACTGCTGTGTTTCGTCTTAAATGGAGTCAGGGAACCAGACTACAGGAAAATGATTCTTTTTTTTGGTTTTTTTAGCATTTTCGAACCCAAAACCTCAAAAAAGTCAGTGTAACTATATTTGCTATATATTTCCAACCCCCAATTCTATCCATTTCTGAAAATTACAGCAAAAGCAAATGATGTATATTCCCTTTAACCATTTAGCGGTTTTCACGAAGTAGCACTTACATGTACATGTATGTGTACTTGGGTGTTACTTCATGGTGTCGGTGACGATTTGTCATTTTGTTGTCTCATCTGAGTCTCTAACTTCGAGTCCGACAGTGACTCACTGTGACTGTTTACCCAAGTTGTACTTCAAATCATACCATTCGCTTTCTTAAAGCCCGAGTCCATCATTTGCAGCTATCCAAAAAAGTAACTGGCGTAATTATTGTTGAAAAACATACTGGTTGAAAGATAGTAAGGGGACTAAACTCCCTGTGAAATTACCCTTTCTGGCAAGCTCTCATTTTGAAGAAATCAACGAAAGAAGGCATTTCCAACGGTGCGTCTTAAGAAGCACCGTAGGAAGATTTAAATTAGTAGTTCGTTTTGTTATTCAGCGCAGAGCGCACAAGCATTGGAACGACGCACAGGCGCTCGCAGTTGCTATAATTCGTCGGATCAGTGCGCGACATCGCGTAAAGCTGCAATTCGAAACATGATTTAGCAACTTTTGATTTGAAATTAAGATCCTAGAATGCTGTTTTTCTCGGAATATAAAGCTGAAGCTGAGCTGAAACTTTATCAGGTTAGTTGTTCAGTACCCTTCATTAGATTTTAAACACTTTTGTTGCTTCAAACGAACAAAATGCACTAATTACAAATGATGGACTATAGCTTTAAAATTTCTTCATTCCATTTATTTTTTATTGATGCATGTTGTTTAATTGTTATCAACTTTGTGCTGGAGTACCTAAAGAATTTGTTTACAAATAATTTTCACGGGCCCATAGGGCCAGCCAGAGTCCTCTTTGAACCTGACTGGCTGACTGACTGACTGACCTGTGAGCCGGGCAGTGCTATCATGTAGGATAACCCCAGCCAGCCTATCCTGCCAATCCTGTAATGCCAGCCTATCCTGCGAGAACGGAATTATTGTCGGGCCAATTTTTATTCGGTCAATGACGCATTCAAAAGTGAATAACTTTGACATAAAACATAGGAATTTAAAAAAGGAATCTATTTGGGAGATGAAACTTGAAAATAGCAGGAGGAATGCAACTTTAAAGCCCGAACTCCCTAGCGTCTTTTACTAGGAACTGGACCAAGTCCATCAAAATCCATCAATCACTGTGCTTCCAATACAAAACTGTACATGACATAATGGAATCCACCACTGACGCACTGATTGACGTTCATGGACTTGCTACACATGGCTTTTATCACAATACTTGTAGCAGTACAGGAAGCTAGGCAAAATCAATCGGATACCCCTAGCACTGCTTCAGGCCATTAGGCCCAAGTCCATCATACTCCATCAATATTTAGTCACGCCAGTGTCTTTAACACGTCTTGCGAGCTTGTCCTGTTGCCGGGGAACATCTTGTGTTTGACCAGTCACAACCAGTCTCACTGCGTATGAAGCAGAGGGCTCACACATGTAGTATGACATTGGAGAAGTGCACGTGTCGATGAACAGATCCATAGTGGGTGGGACAATGGATTGGTCTCTTCCTCCTTCCAAACGCAGCATGAGAACCTTCTTGTTGCACTGTGTTCCTTGGCATGGTCAGTCATCACATCTTGCAAACTAGGGACAAGAGAGAAGCCAGCGTCTTCAAGATCTGTCAAACCCAGGAGATCCGTCTGTTGCTTCTTTCTGATGAGCCTCAGTTCTTCCAAATGCAGCGTGAGAACCTTCTTGTTGCACTGTGTTCCTTGGCATGGTCAGTCATCACATCTTGCCAACTAGGGACAAGAGAGAAGCCAGCGTCTTCAAGATCTGTCAAACCCAGGAGATCCGTCTGTTGCTTCTTCCTGATGAGTGTCGCTCATGGAATCAAAGTGGCGGCAACTTACTCAGAAACTGGTTTCTGAAGATCTGTGTCATCATCACTGCTTTCGTGGTCATCTGAGTCAGGGAAACTGGGCAGGAGCATGTGCAGTACTTCAGGGTCGACAAGAGATCCTGGTTGTTCGGTGTTTTCAACGGGGTACGGAAGAGTTGAGCTTTCCCTGACCTCTGGGCTTCCAGCCTCCAGGGTCGGCGGGTCAGAGTCCAACTGCTCGTCAGAGTGACCAATGGTTGCCACCGTTAGGTTTTCAGAATAATCATTTGCGCTGCTCTCCATCGGAATCCAGTTGTGCTCCTGAAGAGTCAGTTTCTGGTAACTCAAATGGCACGGCGAGCAGCCCCACAATACGCTGGCTGCAGATGTGCATAATAAGACGCAACCAAAGGATGCAAAAGCACATAATGCTCGGATTAAGTTCAGTGTGTCTTTCTTTTGAGACTCTTCATCTCACGAGAAGTACAGTTGTCACAGTGAAGTACAATTTGTACCTTCAGAAAAACAGTCCAAACTCAGACCACAGCCACATAAGGGAGTGTTCCCACTTAGTGAATTAGAAGCAGAGGTAACAACACTAGATGCAAATAAAAATTCACTGAAGACTGACATTGACATTCATATTGTTCATAATAGGATTTGCCGGCATAATGGCATAATTTCAATATGTATATAAAACTGTTCATGCGTGACAATTTTTATTCAGGGAAGAAAAATTGCGCGGGGGGGGGGGGGGCGGACAAAACGATATTCCCCACTTTATATTGGGGATGTATATAAAACTATTGATGTGCGACATGGTCCAATACAATACCTTACTCGGTGCTCCCATTCGCCTATTCATGGTGCCGCAGGCTATTCCCTTTTTGAGCCTGAACAAAATGTACATTGTGCCAAAAATGTACCTTTTGTTTGCAAAGGTCAAAAGAACCTGCCAAAAATATCTGAAATGTGTAACCATAGGTACATCATGTATAGCTTTACAAAGTAAACACTGTGCGGACAAAGGGGACAGAATCACTTTTGGGCAGGTAATCAGTCATGTCAGGAAGCAATATGACTTACCGGTGCAAACACGGAACATAGTCGAGTTTATAAGTAGATTTATGTCAAGTATGTTTGTGGACAAACATAGGGCTGTTTCGGTAACTTTTTGTGACATTTGATATGTAAAGTTTCAAATTTAAGTTCCATCAAGGAAGGATGTGTACTTCTGTTTATAATAAATGATGGCATATAATAGGTGACTGCATTCTCATAGGGCTTTGAATTATGACGTAACATGTCACGTGATAACGTCATGGTGATGTTACATCAATTTTCATCTATAACACATCACGGTCTAGGTACACACCAACATTCAAGATAATCAGACCTGTAGTTCTGTAGATATTGGCCGTCAAAATATGCACTTTTAATATGAGGTCACATGTCATGTGATGACGTCATCGTGAAGTCAATTAAATGTTCATCTTTAACACACCCTGGTTTAGGTACATACCAAGTTTCAACCCAATCAGACCTGTAGTTCTATAGATATTGGCCTTTAAAATATGTACATTTAATATGACGTCACATATCACGTGATGACGTCATCGTGACGTCACTTAAATTTTCATCTATATAACACATCCTGGTTTAGGTACATACCAAGTTTCAACCCAATCGGACCTGTAGTTATGGAGATATGGGCCTTCAAAATATGCACATATATTGTGACGTCACGGGTCAGGTGATGACGTCATGTTCGGCGCACATCTTCAGATGCTGGTCTAAGTGTGTGCCGAGTATAAAGTCAATCGGATTGATTTTAGTGCCCAAAGTGCCTTCCACGATGAAAACGTGCACAAATGATATGGGGAATGGCTGAAAAAAGAAGAAGACAATTTTTTTTCTATCGAAAACAAAGGCTGTTTCGGCCTGTTGCCAAAACAGCCAATCAAATCTTTGATGTGCAAGAACATGCATGTGGGTCTGTCCACACCAAATGTTTCAACTTCACATCAAATGTAGCTTTCATTTGTAGATGATCATACAACGCACTTTAATATTCTGGTAGTACCGGGGGTCATTTCGTGCCAAATCACCCAATGGGTTAATCACCACCCCCTTCAAATTTGCTCATATTTAGTATGTGGGGTAATTTAGGCTGAAAAGGCTGAAATGTTAAGTTTAAGCGACAAACGGTTTTCACCCTACCGCCCACCAGCGTTTGGCAATTTTGGTCAAAATGGGCGTGACCACCAGTTGGCAATTTTGGTCAAAATGGGCGTGGCCACCAGTTTTCAAATGACCATATCTCCATTATAACCTGTGGGCCATATGTGTTAATCTTGGTTACTTTGGAAAGGTAACATCATAAGGAATCCAAATGTACCATTAATTTTCATGTCAGAGGTATTTGAAGTATGATGACCTTTTGACCTTTACATTGAACTTGAATTTGACCTTGTGGATCAAGTGACCTTGAAACGAACTTGGATGGAAATTATACCCCAATATGTTTCCTACATAATATCCGTGACTTGGGGGTATAATATGGTTTGTTTGGTTTCAAGCTCCTGTCAAAGTTTGCATATGTGTTGCAAAATGTAATATCTCTATACATTCATGCACATTTCGGGGACCAAAAAAAACCCTGCTTTAAATCCACTAGTACACTGCGGGGACAAAAAAATCCCTGCTATAGGGGCCTAATCCACTAGTACACTGCATAGGGATATCACATTTTTTGCAACAAGTATGCAAACCTATGAGATGAGCTCGAAACCAAACAAAAAATATTATACCCCCCATTTTTGGGGGGATATTTTGTAGAAAACATGGTGGGGTGTAATTTTCATCCAAGTTCGTCTGAAGGTCATGTGATCCACAATGTCAAAGTAAAGCTCAAAAGGTCGTCATACTTTAACTTACTGCAGCATGCAAAATAATGCTAAATTTGGATTTCTTTTGATGTGACCTTTCCAAAGAAACCAAGATTAAGAAATTTGGCTCACAGGTTATGGAAATATGGTCATTTGAAAATTGTCCGCCACGCCCATTTTGACCGAAATGGCCAAACAATTGGCGGGCGGTAGCACGAAAATAGTTTGTCCGATGTCACTAAAACTAAGAATTTCAGCTTTTTCAGTCTAAATTACCCCATACCAAATATGAACCAATTTAAAGGGGTGGGGTTTAAACTTTTTTAATTTTTTGGGGGTGATTTGACACGGAATGACCCTGGGCTAAATCCGGCCCGTTGTGTTGACCAGATGCATGAAAAGACATCCAGTGAACAGCCATTCTGAATCAATTAGATAGAATTGTGTGCACTCTGGGACCAGCTTTACTAGACCTGCCTTGTTTTTGAATTTGTTATAAAGTGAACTCCCATTTCCCTTGCAAACATCAAAAAATAAAACTACCAAATCACTTTGAAATACCTTGCTGGACTGTTAGTGAATGACAGTGTAAAGCATCCTGTAAAATCATGGCACCTGGTATACTGTCATTTTCAAGAAAAGTGGTATTTTTGTATCAATTTCCAACGCTGATCGGCCGATCAGCGTTGGAAACAACTGGCTTTTATTTCAAATACTGTCCCCAATTGACCATCGCACTTGTTTTTGTAATCGATTACAAACCTATGAACGGGTACGAGCCAGCTAGACTGGTTCCCTGACCTTACAATTCCCCAATGTATGTAAACTGCTCTGTTTCTTCTTAAATGGAGTCAGGGAACCAGACTACAGAAAAATGATTGTTTTTCTTGGTTTTTATAGCATTTTCGAACCCAAAACCTAAAAAAAGTCAGTGTAACTATAATTTGCTATATATTTCCAACCCCCCAATTCCATCCATTCCTGGAAATTACAGCAAAAGCAAATGATGTATATTCCCTTTAATTGATATAACTGTTTTGTTTTGTAGGAACGTGTTGCTAGGTAATACCCCAGGCGTCCTGACTGATGCTACTGCCGAGCTGACTGTCGCTCTCCTGCTTACTACATCCAGACGACTTGTTGAAGGCACCCACCACGTCAAAAAGTACTTCAGTAAAATAACCAATGTTATCATAAATTCTCCCTTTAAGGCCAAAAAAAATAAATAAGTCGGTCTCTGGTCAGCGCGCGCGTCGATTTTAATCATGCGCGTCGATCTTTTTTTTTCCCAAAATGTTCCGCGGTAGCTCCAACAGCGCCCTCTATTTCCGCACCTCCTCAATTTTTTTTTTACCAAAGAGCACCAAGGAATGGGAAATTGCACCAAGGCAAATGATCGAAAGCACCAAGGCAAATTATAAAGGACACCAATGTACATGAGGACACCAAAAGAGCAAAATAGTATCCCACCTTGTCTGTACAATCCAAGCTAGAAGAAAAAAAAAAAAAGCAAAAAAAAAAAAAAAAAGCTGCGTGGCCGCGTCAATCTGGAACTTTGGTCTGACCAGAGACCAAAAAATTTTTTTGGGCCTAATAGGGCCCATGCAATATTATTTTTAAATCTAATCCTTGGAAATGCACCTTTGTGTCCGATTAAACCCTAATTTAAATTTTCTGTTATTGCCATTTTCAAGGGTATTTAGTGCCTTTTATTATTTCTATGCTTATGCAAATGTCAATATTTATGAGCAAAAGTGTGATGTCATTTCAGGCAGAAACCTCAATCTTACAGCTATTTCAGCACCAAAAAATTGCCAGAATTTTTATATTTCGCTCCCATAAATTTTTTTCTCCTTTTCTTGGTGATTCGTCGTCGTGTCAGAACAAAGCCAATGAGCAAACTTTTCTCACAAATGTTTTCAGTGAGCATATTTTTGAGTTCACAATTTGAGCAGAAAACCCTCAAACTGAACAGTGTCTTCCTGAAATGACATCTCGGCAACAGCGCCCTCAGTTGTCCGGAAAAGCATGGGAAATTCTTAATTTTTTTTTAAGAAGTGCACTTTTCCATAAAATTAACCAAAAAGGGATGTCATATATTATTCATACAATTAAGAGGATAAGAAAGTTACACAAAATGTGTTCCTAAGAAAAATTTACTTCATGGACCCTTTAACTATGAGTGCGCAAACACATAAACCATTAGCCGACTGATGGTCCTATATTAAACCTGCCTTTAATTTGAAAAACCCTCAAAATTATATTTCACCCTGTGCAATCATATTCAGTGGGGGAGTGTGGCCTAGTGGCCAGGGTTTGTGACTCATGATCAGAGGGTCAGGGGTTCGAATCCAGCTGCTGGCCATATGTTGCGTCCTTGGGCAAGCCACTTCACCCCCACTTGCCTCTCTCCACCCAGGAGTATAATTGGGTACCGGCATTAGCTGGGGAGTAACCTGCATTGGACTGGCATCCCATCCAGGGGAAAGAGAAATATTCTCATATGTTTCACACCAAGGAAACTAGAGAAAAAGACGTGTACATTTTGTTTGCTGATCATAAGTCTTTTTTCTCTTTTTTTTCTAGTGGCACTTGGGGATCCTGGAAAGCCACATGGATGTGTGGTCCGGGCCTGTCAGGGAGCACTGTTGGTCTGGTCGGTTTTGGCCGTATTGGGCAAGCAATCGGTCAGCGTCTCAAACCGTTTGGTGTCAAGAGATTCCTGTACTGTGGTCACACTCCCAAGCCTGAAGCTCCAATGTTGCCGGCTGAATTTGGTGCGTAACACTCAGATGTGAAAATTTAACCTGTTAGATCCCGTAGCTGTTAGATCGCTGGTGATTGTGTAGTTATGGGCCCTCTTTTGTTTTAGTCCATAGAATGTTTTATCCTTCCAAAATGATTTGTACAATCTTAAGCAGCCTTCGTTTAATTCTAATGATCCTTGTTTGGTAATTAGTAAAAATACAATTTTGTTACTCATTTTTCAGTTGACACCATATGGTACAACACGTCAAAATCCTGCCCTCTATCCACAAAATCTCTGTTGGTTTTAGACATCGCTAACTGGTTGCGTTTGAACCGAAAAGTGAATTTTTGTTCTAATACAAGAACAGGGCCCGTAACTACACAATCACACTTTTTCCTACATGTACTAATCGTGTGTTTCGTCGACGTCCAGAAAATAATTTTTTTCTTACCAAAAACAAAAGAGCTTGCTGAAACGTGGCAGAGATATGCACCACTCGGGATCATGTTCGATACATGTTCAAATTTACAAGTTCATACCACAAACCGTTTAGAAGAAAAACCGCGGAGAATTATTGTCGAAACAAAAGAAGAAAAAATGGAAAGAAAGAAACAAAGAAGATTAATTCGTACCATTTAAAAAGGTGAGCGGGTCGTACCTGATCACCAAATTAGTCGAGGAGCATGTGAGCAACTCTTATTAAAGCCAGAAGTGTTACTTCAAGTGAATACACTGACATTGTGATGTAGCAAAATGCCTTTTAGAAATTCTTTTTTTTTAACACCTTTTTTTCCCCCCCGTAGTATCTCAGGATGAGCTACTCCAACAATCTGACTTTGTCGTTGTCTGCTGTGCGTTGACGCCAGAGACCAGAGGAATGTTTAACAGCGCAGTCTTCAAGAAAATGAAGAAATCTGCAGTATTCATCAACACTAGCAGGTACACTATAGACAAACATACCCTAGAAAATAATGACAATAATAACATGGTGCTATCTTTCACAATTCATAAGCAAGTCTCAAAGCGTTCTAAATTATTACCCTGTTCATCAGGCCATGAGACAGTTTTTCTGAGATCAGCGCATTCTGGTCTAACCTCACATGTACCGATTTATACTCCTGGGTGGAGAGAAACAATTGTAGTAAAGCGTCTTGCCCAAGAACAGAAAGCGTTTCATAGTTATAACTCCTATTCATCAAGCCACGAGACTATTTTTCTGTAGCAGCTTGAGATCAGCGCAATCCGGTCTCTACCCTCACAGGTACCGATTTATACTCCTGGGTGGAGAGAGGCAATTGTAGTAAAGTGTCTTGCCCAAGAACAAAAAGCGTTTCACAGTTATAACAAATATTCATCAAGCCATGAGACAATTTTTCTGCAGCAGCTCGAGATCAGCACAAGAGATCGAGTCTCTTCTCATTTATACTCTCGATGGAGAGAGGCAATTGTAGTAAAGTGTCTTGCCCAAGAACAGAAGCACCGTGTAATCATTCAGCGTTCGAACCCACATAGCATCACACACGAGTTGGACTCTATAACATTGGACAGCGGCACTCCACATGGGCTAAACTCGATGTTTAAAATTAAAATGCAAAATTGTCACTGTTCTCTTGGTTTGTTTTTTTTGACTTGCCAGGGGTGCTGTCGTCAACCAAGAGGATCTCGTGGAGGCTTTAGAGTCTGGTACCATAGCTCTAGCGGGTCTGGATGTCACCACGCCAGAACCGTTGCCTGTGGATCACCCATTACTCAAGTTGACCAACTGCGGTAAGCAAATTGAAAATGAAGTCTTGGTCCCATACTGGATTTGGATTTTATTCCCATGGCGGTGGCATGAATCAACCCTTAGGAACTTCGGCACTGCTACCCATGAACTTCCAAGCATACATTAGTCTTGGTCGAAGACTGTAGTTGTTTTTTTTCTTCTTCAAATTATAAATACAGCCAGTCCTCACAAGTGTGGTCAAGCAACAGTGGTGTCCTGGGTGCTATTGACAAGATGAATCAAATCAAACCTTGGGAATTTCGGCAGCGCTACCTGGGCAATTCCGAGTATGCCTCACAAGCGCTGTATTCAAGCTAATGTTGCATGTGAGGTACGATTGGAAGTTATTGGGTTGGGTTGCCAAAATACCTAAGACTTGATGTGCCTCACGTTTGCTGACGGTACCCTCTGGCCGACAGCACAGATGTAACCAACTAGTAAAAAGTCAAGTCTGTCACGAACCTATATGGCCCATCAGGCTGGCGTTTATCTCCGGTTTCAGTAGCATGAAACAACTGAGAATATTTCTATTCCACCTGGATGGGATGCCAGTCCATCGCAGGTTACTGCCAGCTAATGCCGGTACCCACTTATACTCCTGGGTGGACAGAAGCAAGTGGGGGTAAAGTGGCTTGCCCAAGGACACAACATATGGCCAGCAGGCGTAATTTTTATTCCTAGGAGGGTAAGGGGCAATGTCATGAATAATTCATGTTTATCCATTAGAACGGACAATGACATCAACAGCATTGTTGTTAGTTACTCAACTAGTTACAATACATTAAAGCATTTTAAAGAACGGTTGTCGTCGAGCTACCACACAGTAGCCTAGTGGATAGCGAGATGAGCTATGGATACAAAGATCCCTGGTTCGAATCCACGTCGTCGCTGCTCATTTTCATCAGCTATTTTTCTTCTCCAAATTTATCACTGAGATAATTTTAAATTAAGGGGAAAATAGAACGAGAACCTAAGTCTTGCAATGATTCAAAGGAAAAACTGAATTATTCATGACATTGCCCCTAACCCTCCTAGGAAAAAAAATTACGCGGCCAGCAGCCGGATTTTAACCCCTGACCCTCTGATCGTGAGTCACGAACCCTAACCACTAGGCCACACTCCCCCCACCACACTGTAGCACTGGTTGTCCTTAAATAAAATGTGATTTTGATCTTTCCATAGTTGTTCTTCCGCACATCGGCAGCGCTACCCTTGAGACGAGGACAGCGATGGCCATGCTGTCGGCCGAAAATCTTCTCACTGCGCTAGAAGGCAAGCCTATGCCAGCTCAGGTTAAATTATAGATCACGCCATATTTGTAATTAAAGATTGACTGTCCGTGAAATTTTCCAGGCTCAACTCAAAAATATGTGCCTTTAATTTGGGCGATTCACAATGCAGTGTGCCACCAGTGCATTGTGGGAGATGGTCGACAAATTCGCAGCGCGGGGCATTTGAAAATGTTAGTTTTTCCGGTCAGTAGTTTCGTAAGCATATGATTCGAGGATCTGTTTGCCCTTTTTTTTTTTTTTTTATCAATATGGTGTTTTTTTTGTAAGGCGTCTGAACGCTATGCCTCAATCTATAACAAATTAGCTCAAGTTATCTACTGACACTCGTTCAAATGGGCCATGTGTTGTGGACCATAAACTTGAAAAATGGACTCTCCACGGCAAACTCTTGGTGGCACACTGCATTGTGAATCGTCTGAATTGCTATTTTCTAGAAATACTGAAGTTATTCACTTTTCATTGGATGTTGAACGAGAAAAAAAATCATGTTTACAACTTGCGAATTATTTGTGGCCCGTGGACTGGTTCCCGATTAGAATCGATAATGTATAGTGATGAGGAACCAGACTATTTGCTGGGCATGCCTGCTTATGCGCAAAAGCAATCCCGAAAAAAATCACCATTTTATTCAAGGGATGTAGACGCCAAAAACGATTTATTAGGAAAAAAGGACGGAAGATCTTCAAATGTTGTTGAATTTTGTTTTGGTGAGAGAAATTTTTTCACTTCCTCAGGTTTTTTTTTAATTTTAAGACGAACATTTGAACCTTTTACAGGACCCATAAGCATGCCAATTACAATTAGCAAACTATTAAATTACCCAAAACAATATCTTGTTATACAAATATAAAACAAAGAAAGTATTTAACGTATACAAATTCAAAGACATAATTATAATTTTTTTGATGTGAAACGCACAAAACGTGGATGAATTGGTGCAACATATTACTTTTCAAAGAAAAATATGTTTCCAATCCACTAAAAGAGTACTGAAATGTAAAAAACGTATTATTAATAATTGAACATTCTATCCTTCAAATTGATTATGTAATAAATCAAATTGAACAGTTCTAAAACAAATGTGTGATTGTTAAAATTCCCATCTTACAGCTGTAGGCAAACTGCCAACATCTCCGAGGAACAAGTTAATCGTATGTTTGACTGATTCCCCCTCAAAGTTTCGATGTAAGTTTTGTTTTGAATGGCATTATGTCCAAAAATAGCATTGGAGTGCATTGAGTGGTTCGGTAGGCATCTCTCCTGCATGTTTCAAGAAAATTAAATTTTGGCCAACAAAAAGGGGTTAGCCTTTGACTTTTCTCCAAACAATGTAGAAATTCTTTTAAAGGCAAGAGGAGCATCAATCAACCTTCAAACACTCAATATTTTGACGACTTGGGCAAAAATCATCATTTTTTTTTGAAAAAAAAAATCATTCTTTATGACTGATTTTACCCCAAATTTTCATCGAAATTTCATTTTGAAAATCACATCTGTCCAGATATCGAATTGGAATGTGTTCTAGGGACCTTTAGGCATCTTTCTAGCAAGTTTGAAGCAATTTGATTTTTTGGCCAAAATTGAAAAAAACACAAGGGGTAAGCCTTACTTTTTTATCAAAATTTGGCCAAAAATTGACTTTTCTCCAAACAATGCAGAAATGTCTTTGGAGGTAAGAGTAGCCTCAATCAACCTTTAATCACCCAATAACTTGAAGATTTGGGCAAAAAATCATCGATTTTTATAGAAAAAAAATCATTCTTTTTGACTGATTTTACCCCGAATTTTCATCGAAATTTCATTTTGAAAAGCACATCTGTCCACATATCGAATTGGAATGTGTTCTAGGGTCCTTTAGGCATCTTTCTAGCAAGTTTGAAGCAATTTGATTTTTTGGCCAAAATTGAAAAAAACACAAGGGGTAAGCCTTACTTTTTTATCAAAATTTGGCCAAAAATTGACTTTTCTCCCAACAATGCAGAAATGTCTTTGGAGGTAAGAGTAGCCTCAATCAACCTTTAATCACCCACTAACTTGAGGATTTGGGCAAAAAATCTTCGATTTTTATAGAAAAAAAATCATTCTTTTTGACTGATTTTACCCCGAATTTTCATCGAAATTTCATTTTGAAAAGCACATCTGTCCACATATCGAATTGGAATGTGTTCTAGGGTCCTTTAGGCATCTTTCTAGCAAGTTTGAAGCAATTTGATTTTTTGGCCAAAATTGAAAAAAACACAAGGGGTAAGCCTTACTTTTTTATCAAAATTTGGCCAAAAAATGACTTTTAGCCAAACAATGCAGAAATGTCTTTGGAGGTAGGAGTAGCCTCAATCAACCTTTAATCACCCAATAACTTGAAGATTTGGGCAAAAAATCTTCAATTTTTATAGAAAAAAATCATTCTTTTTGACTGATTTTACCCCAAATTTTCGTCAAAATTTCATTTTGAAAAGCACGTCTGTCCACATATCGAATTGGAATGTGTTCTGGGGTCCTTTAGGCATCTTTCTAGCAAGTTTGAAACAATTTGATTTTTTGGCCAAAATTGAAAAAAAAACACAAGGGGTAAGCCTTACTTTTTTATCAAAATTTGGCCAAAAATTGACTTTTCTCCCAACAATGCAGAAATGTCTTTGGAGGTAAGAGTAGCCTCAATCAACCTTTAATCACCCACTAACTTGAGGATTTGGGCAAAAAATCTTCGATTTTTATAGAAAAAAATCATTCTTTTTGACTGATTTTACCCCAAATTTTCGTCAAAATTTCATTTTGAAAAGCACATCTGTCCACATATCGAATTGGAATGTGTTCTAGGGTCCTTTAGGCATCTTTCTAGCAAGTTTGAAGCAATTTGATTTTTTGGCCAAAATTGAAAAAAAAAAAAAGGGGTAAGCCTTACTTTTTTATCAAAATTTGGCCAAAAATTGACTTTTCTCCCAACAATGCAGAAATGTCTTTGGAGGTAAGAGTAGCCTCAATCAACCTTTAATCACCCACTAACTTGAGGATTTGGGCAAAAAATCTTCGATTTTTATAGAAAAAAATCATTCTTTTTGACTGATTTTACCCCAAATTTTCGTCAAAATTTCATTTTGAAGAGCACATCTGTCCACATATCGAATTGGAATGTGTTCTAGGGTCCTTTAGGCATCTTTCTAGCAAGTTTGAAGCAATTTGATTTTTTGGCCAAAATTGAAAAAAACACAAGGGGTAAGCCTTACTTTTTTATCAAAATTTGGCCAAAAATTGACTTTTCTCCAAACAATGCAGAAATGTCTTTGGAGGTAAGAGTAGCCTCAATCAACCTTTAATCACCCACTAACTTGAGGATTTGGGCAAAAAATCTTCGATTTTTATAGAAAAAAATCATTCTTTTTGACTGATTTTACCCCAAATTTTCGTCAAAATTTCATTTTGAAGAGCACATCTGTCCACATATCGAATTGGAATGTGTTCTAGGGTCCTTTAGGCATCTTTCTAGCAAGTTTGAAGCAATTTGATTTTTTGGCCAAAATTGAAAAAAACACAAGGGGTAAGCCTTACTTTTTTATCAAAATTTGGCCAAAAATTGACTTTTCTCCAAACAATGCAGAAATGTCTTTGGAGGTAAGACTAGCCTCAATCAACCTTTAATCACCCAATAACTTGAAGATTTGGGCAAAAAATCATCGATTTTTATAGAAAAAAAATCATTCTTTTTGACTGATTTTACCCCAAATTTTCTTCCAAATTTCATTTTGAAAAGCACATCTGTCCACATATCGAATTGGAATGTGTTCTGGGGTCCTTTAGGCATCTTTCTAGCAAGTTTGAAGCAATTTGATTTTTTGGCCAAAATTGAAAAAAACACAAGGGGTAAGCCTTACTTTTTTATCAAAATTTGGCCAAAAATTGACTTTTCTCCAAACAATGCAGAAATGTCTTTGGAGGTAAGAGTAGCCTCAATCAACCTTTAATCACCCAATAACTTGAAGATTTGGGCAAAAAATCATCGATTTTTATAGAAAAAAAATCATTCTTTTTGACTGATTTTACCCCAAATTTTCGTCCAAATTTCATTTTGAAAAGCACATCTGTCCACATATCGAATTGGAATGTGTTCTAGGGTCCTTTAGGCATCTTTCTAGCAAGTTTGAAGCAATTTGATTTTTTGGCCAAAATTGAAAAAAACACAAGGGGTAAGCCTTACTTTTTTATCAAAATTTGGCCAAAAATTGACTTTTCTCCAAACAATGCAGAAATGTCATTGGGGTAAGGGTAGCCTCAATCAACCTTTAATCACCCACTAACTTGAAGATTTGGGCAAAAAATCTTCAATTTTTATAGAAAAAAATCATTCTTTTTGACTGATTTTACCCCAAATTTTCGTCAAAATTTCATTTTGAAAAGCACATCTGTCCACATATCGAATTGGAATGTGTTCTAGGGTCCTTTAGGCATCTTTCTAGCAAGTTTGAAGCAATTTGATTTTTTGGCCAAAATTGAAAAAAACACAAGGGGTAAGCCTTACTTTTTTATCAAAATTTGGCCAAAAAATGACTTTTAGCCAAACAATGCAGAAATGTCTTTGGAGGTAGGAGTAGCCTCAATCAACCTTTAATCACCCAATAACTTGAAGATTTGGGCAAAAAATCTTCAATTTTTATAGAAAAAAATCATTCTTTTTGACTGATTTTACCCCAAATTTTCGTCAAAATTTCATTTTGAAAAGCACGTCTGTCCACATATCGAATTGGAATGTGTTCTAAGGTCCTTTAGGCATCTTTCTAGCAAGTTTGAAACAATTTGATTTTTTGGCCAAAATTGAAAAAAAAACACAAGGGGTAAGCCTTACTTTTTTATCAAAATTTGGCCAAAAATTGACTTTTCTCCCAACAATGCAGAAATGTCTTTGGAGGTAAGAGTAGCCTCAATCAACCTTTAATCACCCACTAACTTGAGGATTTGGGCAAAAAATCTTCGATTTTTATAGAAAAAAATCATTCTTTTTGACTGATTTTACCCCAAATTTTCGTCAAAATTTCATTTTGAAAAGCACATCTGTCCACATATCGAATTGGAATGTGTTCTAGGGTCCTTTAGGCATCTTTCTAGCAAGTTTGAAGCAATTTGATTTTTTGGCCAAAATTGAAAAAAACACAAGGGGTAAGCCTTACTTTTTTATCAAAATTTGGCCAAAAATTGACTTTTCTCCA